ATAAAATCGGCGCCGATGTCGCGTGTTCTAAACTACACGACGACACAGCTTTCAACGACCCCAGAACAACTAGAACTGGCTAAACCCCTAACCCCTCTGCCCACAGCCTTGGCCTAGGTCACACGAGAGACTCTTTTCGAAGAAAGCATTACAGCGTTTTACCCCTCTCACCTAGACCAGACAAAGAAAGTGATTAGATAGACAGGGAAACGTGAACAGGTACAATGTTAGTATTGCAAATTAGTACAATAGAAAATGGACTTAATTTCAAAATTATTTAACGTCCTATTGAAAGACCCCCCTTCCCCCCCCCCCCCCCGCGACCTTCCGAGCCGCACACGAGCATCTAGCCGCTATGGCAATGCGACCCCCACTGTTACAGTCACACTGTAGCACAGTCATATCCTACCAGTTTCACCGAGAACAGGTAATACCATAAATTGTTACTCTGACTTATCTAAGACTCCTTTACGTCATTACAACTAGAATTAAAATTGACCACTTTTCTGACTTTTTATATTTTCAGACTGCAAATGTAAGAGGAATCAAACATGCATGGATAATGGTACCTGTTGTCATGACTACTGCATGGGTGGCTGTGTAGGCCGAGGGTCAGGTGACTGCTACAGCTGTAAAGGTGTCACATACCAGGGCAAGTGCCATCCGAAATGCCCGGCTTCGACATTTATGGTGAATTTTTATGTTTCGTATAATAATTATTTCCTTAATTAAACCTTCCCACATTTTATGTTTGACGATTGTGCATACAGGATGAAGAATATTCTGTGCAAGAAATAAACTTATCAATCAAATACGCTGATTACCCGCATCTGAAGTGAGTAATTCACATTCTATGTGCATGAGAAGGGGAAAATGGAATGTAAAATGACAACATTTTACAACATAACAGTAAAAGTAAAGTCTGTTCTCTGTTATCGTGAATGTTTGGCCGTGTATACCAAACCTGACGTTCTACTGGTACCAGTGGCTTCGTGTGGAGGAGCAGATTTAGATGCGGGGGGGGGGGGGCTGATATATTCTGCACCTAGATAAAAACAATACAATTCTCATGTTTAATTATAACTTTAAGTTAAGTGGGAAAAGAAAATAGGCATAGTGAGACCAAGAGATAGAGAGAAAGGTGGGGGTGTGGCCTACTGCCATCAAAGCTTTACTTTAGATTGTTGAGAATTATCCGAACTAGGCAACGCTGTAAATTAGTAATGCAGTGGATACCTTCCCACTGTGGAGCTCCCGGAAACGAAAGAGCTGGTAAACTAGCTAAGGAAGGTGCAACTGAAGAACAACCTGACATACCAGTGTCTTATCAACAGAAGAAGAGAATGATCAAATCAATCAGAATGCCACCGAAACTGGCACAAGATGATTACCATATTATGGACAGACCAGAGCAAGTTATTATCCTTCGCCTTAGAACATGGCACAATAGACTTCGCTCCCACATGTACAACAAATTTAAGATTGGCCAATCGGCCATGTGTACTTGTGGACTGGCACCTGAAACAACAGATCACATCCTTCAAGACTGTCCCATATTCAACGCTTTCAGGCAAAACATTTGGCCAAAAGAGACACTTGTGGAAGTCAAACTTTACGGGCCGCTTAGTGAATTACAAAAGACAGTGAAATTCATACAAGAGAGGGCTTTGCAGATATAGACAATTTATTTCATGCGAACGAAAGAAGAAGAAGAAGATTGTTGAGAAATCTAACCAAAAATCTTTGGACCTATCAGTGATGAAAGAACAGAGAATTAGAGTGAGAAGCAACACAATTCATAATCTGTTTAAATCAGCACTAACTACTGTCATAATGGGAGCTAACAGACTCCAGTGGTTGGTGCATGTAGAATGAATGACAGACAATAGAGAGATGAAAACTGAATACATGCATACATGCACGCGCGCGTACACACACACACACACACCACATGCACGCACACACGCACACACACACACACACTCTTGAAATTGTGTAAGGGAGGGGGGGGGGGGTTGACTACAAGGCAGACCAAGAAGAGGATGGTGAAGAGAAGAAATGAATGGAGGTGGGGGATATTCTCAGCAATGAATCTCAAGGGCTCGGAATGATGAAGACCACACAAAAATGGAAGAAGAAGAAAAATATATGCAGTTCCTATTAAAAGTTACATAACATGTAGTTAGTATAACTTTATGAAGACACAGCATTGTATCAAGAATTAAAGACTATATTATATGGTTAATATTTTTTTAAAAAGAACATTGACAAGAGAAGCCAGACAGGCAGGACTAGATTCCATCCATAATATCAGCCAGCTTGCATCAGTCATAATGGAATGGAGGAAAATACTGTAACCCTATGTGACATTATGTGATACCATAGGATGACGATGATGGTGATGGTGATTAAAGGAAAGGAGGAGGGTCAGAGGGAGACCAAAGAGAAGATGTTAGATAGTCTGGCATCATGGTTTTGAAGAAGATCTGTATCAGGAATGCTTAACAGTAAATCAGAGGGCTGTGGGCAGTATGATTACGAATGTCACACAGTATGGACTATAAGAATAAGAAGGTAATCAAAACATCATTTACTTACACTATAAATACCGGGACATAATCATTTCGATCTTCGTATATTCCTGCAATAGGTTACTGTGTATGTTTAGACAATACTTAGTCTGCCTTAACTTACCACTTTTTAGAGTGGTCTAGAAGAGAGGGTGGGAGCTGGGGAGCCTTTTGATCATGAGGATAAATGGCAGTATGGTTAGTACAGTTGTCTTGGACAGTACAAATTTGAATTTTGCTTTTTTTCTCCTGATAGAAAAAATGCATCTCTTTACCACAGATTTGAACTTGCGCCTGGAGAAACAAGTCGCTGAGCATATTCCAGTATGGGTAGGAAAAGCAATGCAAAGTAAAAAATCAAAATGAGAATACCGGTCGTAAATACCATCCTTCCATAATAGCACGCCATATTTTTTTTAATTTGGACACTGTCCAAGGAAAACGCTTTTCAAATTCCTAAAACGTCAGACAATGACAGCACGCCGAGATTTCTTAAAGCCGCTGCGATTAGTTACCTCCGCACTGAACTTTGTAAACAAAACAAAAAACATGATTCTCAAACTGCGTCTGCCCTGGTAAAACAGGAAGTTCTTCTTCTTCTTCTTCACTTCCTCTTTTACCGCTGTGGGTGTCGAGGGAGATATAAGATTCTGTTTCTAGCTCTTCTGGCTGCCTCCACCATAGGCACATCGTGCTGTTGTAGAGTTTCTCTGATGTTATCCTTCCATCTTGTTCTTGGTCTACCCCGTGCTCTACGTCCTTCTTCTCTTTCCATGTATGCTTTGTATAGTATGGTGTCACAAGGCATTCTCTCTAAGTGGGCAAACCATTTTACTTGCTGTCTTTGTATGTAATCCAGAATTGGTTCTGTGCCGACTTGTTCTCTTATGATCTCATTCCTGATCTTATCTCTTATGGTCACTCCTACAGCCCTTCTCAGACATCTTATTTCCGTGGTTACTAATTTTCTTTTATGGTTTGTTGTGAGTGACCATGTCTGGCACTGGTAGCACAGAGTTGCTTTGATTAAGATGTCTCTTTGTGCTGATTGGGATTGTCTTATGCTGTAAGAGGGGGGCTAGCTGTCCCAAAACTTGGTTTGCTTTACTGCATCTAATGTCAATTTCTTTATCCAATTTCCCATTTTCGGTAAATGTAGTTCCCAGATATTTAAACTCAGATGACTGTTTAATGCCTTTGTATTCTATTGCTATGTTTAGATCTGTCTTCTTTTTTCCTATTGACATTACTTCTGTCTTTTCAGTGTTGATTCTCATATTATTTGTTTTACATTCTTCATTCATGGATGTTAGATGTTGTTGCAATTTCAAAGCTGTATATCTGCTATCAAGGCCTGGTTGCGTTCAACATCATTCATGCTAAACATTGAGTTCCGTCTGGGTCAAAAATAGGATTGTGCGTTTAAGGTCGCCACCGGTCCCCCATAGCTTCTCTTGCAATGTGGATCCCCTGGGCCAGATCCACAGTCTTTGCTGGTAGAGGTAAGGGCAGTACTGCAGTATGTGCTCAGGGGTCTGTCTTTCTGCTCCACAATCACAGGCAGCAGATTCTTTTATGCCTATCCTGTACAGATGTGCTCGAAGACCACAGTGTCCAGTCCGAAGTGATCAGCAGACCCCTTGCTAGGTCTCTGCCGGCTGGATTCACCCGCTGAATAGCCATGTTACAGTGGTCGGATAACTTTCCTTTCAACAAAGTTATCATGGGTGTCAGAAAATAACATCACAGACTTGAAGTTAACAGAGCTTAAATAGGTCCTGCAGCCATATTTGCAAGCACCTAAAACTGCAGAGCACTGATTACAAAGTTGAACCACATACAGCTCAGAAATTTTTGTCCACATATATCTCAGAAAAATCTATTTATAGGTCCTGCTCCTAGATGTCAAACTCTGAAATCCTGCAAAATCTGCAAACCATATGCTGTAGATGAAAGAAATACTGCTCTGAAAAGTCTGTTAGATGTCCCATTGATGCGGCCCTCGATGTTGAACTATGAAAGCTGCATGGAATGCAGAAGACTGCAGTTCTGGATAGAAAGAAAATCACAGATACAAGCTGATTTCAAATGAATAGGAAGAAAGAAATCAATACAATTTAGACCTTCACTTGCATTTGGTTACTGAATATGATATAACAGTAGCTTTTTGCCTTTCCACTGCTTTCTTTTGTCACAAAAATTCCAATAAATTTATAACTGTGTTATCTGGTAACAATTTTTAAAAGATTGGATTGACCTTATGCCATGGTTGAATTTTGCTACTACTGAGTACCAAACTGGAAAAAAAAATATCTTAACCATTATACCATTGTGGCCGGGTTAACATAGCATTCTGTTTAATACTGTCTTACTGTTCAGCTCTAATTGTGTCTAAGGACAGCTTTCTTATCTGCTCACTAACTTTTCCAGTTCTCTGAAAGACGATGCCTCACAGAAAAAGAATGTCTGGCTTTAGCCAATAACACAAATGATATCAGAAAGAGCACCAAGATTCTGCGGGGTGATAACAATGAACCCAGTCTGTGTGTTACCGAATGCCCTCAGAACTATACAATTCAGCAGGAAGGACCATTAAAAAATCTAGAGTGCATCAGATGTAAGGGATTCTGCCCTAAGAGTAAGTACCTTTCATCAGTATTTAAAAAACTCCATGAGTTTGGAATTTTATTTGTTGCTACATGCAGATTGTGGATTTGGTATCTTTTACTTGGGTCACATGCATCTCAAAGATCCTGGGGTCATTGCTAGAAGTACTTTATTTTTATTTTTTTGTGGGTAATTCTTTCTGCAGCTGACTAGCTGCTATGTAGAGAGAGATTGACCATGTGGAATAAAACACAGTGTAATACCTTCTGTGGGTTCTGGAACCCATTTTGTAAGGGGGGGGGGGGGGGGAAATAGACCTACTGCCTCCCCTTCCCCACCCCCTAATCCCTTTTAAAAGATGACTAATTGGGGCTTTTCTAAAATTGGATGTGTTGAGCTGAAAGGCACAGATATCACAGCCTAGCTGTAATCTACAATGCAGTGCGCCAAGTGCTTTTTTAAGGGCCAGCGCTGAAGAAGAAGAAGAAAACCCAGTGAAATTATCAATCCTGTCACCTTTTACACACGTTTTAAATATTGCTCGTTGAGTGGGTTCTAGAAAATCACCAGAGGTAAGGCAACTGGCATGTTACTTACAACTGGTTATTATTATTTGTATGTATGTGTGCGTGTGTATGTATGTTTATAAAAGTAAAGTAAAGAAAAAGACCCTTTTCCATGCTTTATGCATAAGGGGCATATAGGGCTAGACCTATATTTTATAGACCAATCGGCACAAGATGGGTAATGTAAGCATCACGCCAGCTGCCTTTACTTCCCAGGACTGCACCCAGTACCCACTCCAGGCTGGGTCGACCTTCATATTTTCATATTTGAAAAAAAGTACATATGTATATATATATATATTATATATATATATATATATATATATATATATATATATATATATATATATATATATATAGAGAGAGAGAGAGAGAGAGAGAGAGAGAGAGAGAGAGAGAGAGAGAGAGAGAGAGAGAGAGAGAGAGAGAGAGAGAGAGAGAGAGAGCAGCTGATCACATACACACATATGTGCATTAAAAATGTGTTATTGTGATAATGTTTCTAAAAACACAACAGTTAATGCTAATAGAATATCTTATTATCCTCTTTAGGATCATACAAGATGTAATTCAAAATAAAAAAAATAAAAAAGATAATGCATTTTCTGAATAACAATGAATGTTCCATAAAAATGGCACTTGAGAGGCCATAATTTGTCTGAAGATGTTAATTGAAAAATATATAAAGGTTTAGAAAAATATTTATGCATTAATTATAAATTAGAAGAAAGCTTTCATCTGTATACTATGAGATCAGTTAATTGCATGCCTCCTACGTACAGGATTAGAGGGATATCAGACTGATTAATAATTAATACTGTACGATTAGCAGGAATTACATACGTGAGCACTTGCTTATCACATATAGAGATAAACAGAAGAGCAATAAGTGGAGTTGAGCCTAGATAAGAATTGACATCACAGCACTTGGGGCATTCCCATGCATGCTCTGTCCTCATCTTCTGATGATAAATATGTGTGTGTAAGAAACAAGTGAAATATTTCAGCCTTGTTAAAAGACATAAGTCTTTTTTTTTTTTAAACCATACTGAAAGAGAAGTTTGAAGGCAAATGAGCAAAAGGTAAACAGTGATACAATGGGAGGATAACATAAAAAGATAGATAAACAGCAGTCTTAGAGAGGATTAAAGACAGCCAGTCATCATTTTGGAGATGTTGCTCAAATGATTTATTATTATTATTATTGTTATGATGTGTCTTCTCCACAGTTGAAGTTGGCTGTAGTAGTTATCTGCATTCACATCTTTCTATTGGAATATTACATGGTGACGCCTCAGTGCACAGTGCACCTCTGATATTACTGTCTAAAAGCCATAAAAGCCATCTTTTTCTCAGCTGTCCTCACCCCTGGGAAGGGAAGTGAACCCTGGTACTTAAGAATAGGGAAATGCATTCACCAAGCTATAGAGCCACACGATATATAGATTGATTGGTTGGTTGTGTTTTTTAAGGGTGCCAGTTTCTTATTCTGTCTTACTTTTTTTTTTTTTTATGTTAAAGTACTTTTGTTATTAGTGATTGGTTCTTTTAGTCAGTTGCATATCCTATACAGGAAATTGCAGAACCAACCCCATCATTTTTTGGCTTCATGGTTTTTGAAGGCAACTTTTACTTTAGCAGTTTGCCATTCCCTCTGAAAGGTCGGCTGTCAGTACCACTGTCTAAACCAACATAACACTGTCTGCTGCCAAATTGCCTGCAGCTGGGATTGAACCTGGCACCTCAGCATTATTAAGCATAGGCCACAGATGCCAAGCTTGAGGTCAGTAGAATTGGTTCGGTATTGGTTCGGTGCCCAAGAATAATGAAAGGCACAGTACTGGTAAATGATTTCATAGAACATTTCAAAAAATGGTTTGGTCATCTGGTCAGGATGGAACAAAATCAACTAGCATCTAGAATGTACAACATAAGAACAGCAGGATACAAGGCAAGAGGCCGACCAAGAAAGAGATGGTTGGAGGGAGTACACTACAGAAATTCAGCGTGGTATTAACACAAGCTACAAAACTAGTTAAAGATAGAGAAATACTTTTAACTCCTCTCTTTGATGTTTTATGACATAACAGTAGGACAGAAGAAAGACCCACAAAAATATTCTTAATTTGCTTGTGATTTAAGAAGAGTGCTGATATGTTCTGCCCCTAATTACTAATTTTTCAATTCTCATGTTTCAGTCTGCAATTCCACTGAAGTCAATAGCATTGAAGATGCTCAGAAACTGAAAGGATGTAGCAAGATTATTGGACCTTTAGTCATACAGATCTTGAGCGGTAGTAACATGTCATTATTATTACACAGTTTGTAATTTTAAACTACATTTCCTTTATATTCACAATCCATTGAAGTCTTATTAAGATTTTCTCCTGACAGTGTGTTGTGTTGTTTGTAATTGTTTGTAGCCTTAAAATTGAATTTGTAATAAGACTTTTAAAAAAGATGCAAATACATTTTAATGTCAGTACAGTACTGGCAAAGCAACAAAAGTCTTTAAAAGCTCTAACAACATATGAAGCTCCAAGTTATACAGCTTTCAGACCAAACTATGAATCTTCAATTCTAACATTATTTCAGTTCTGACATATGCCACCGAAAGTTGTAGAACTACCTAAAATAAGGAACAAAAGTTAAATTCATTTGGAAATAAATATCTGAGAAGAATCAAGAACATAAAATGGGATACATTTTTAAAAAGTTAGGAGATCATAAAGACGTCTAGACAAATACCTTTTTGGTGTGGTAAGACAAAGAAATTGGAGATATACTAGGCACGCACTGAGACAGAATGAGCAAAGAATTATAAAAAAGCTCTAAAATGAGAAACAAATGGTCTGAGAAAAAGAGAATGTACATGGAAAACAATTGGAAGAACATTATTACGAGAAGCTAGAAACGCTGGGGTGAACTCCTATGTCAGAAACCGAAAGTGTTGCATGCAATAGAGCACAGTAGAGGAATCAAATGGTAGCCCTGTGAGAGGTATAATGGCACATGAAGGATGAAGATGATGTTGACAGGAGGTACTGAAAGTTAGTAACATAAAATGTGAATATATTTGTTATATTAATGGATAACATTAATTATCTATTAATAGAATATAAGTAAGAACATGGAAGCTGAAATTTTTTGGCCATATAAAGTGCCACAGGGGATTGGACAAAATAATATCAGAAGGCATGGTTCCAGGAAGGAGGAGCAGGGGGCCGACCAACACAAAGATGGCCACAGGATATAAGCCACACTTGAATATGAGAGTGCACGAGGCGGAAGAGCTGGCCTGAGACCGAGTGTCTTTCAGGCAGACAATGATGAGAGTGACATTCTGCAAAGGACCTGCTACATGATGATGAACTAAGAACACTGTAATATAGTCTACTGTTATTGGCTTGAAGCATAATGTCCAGTAGAATGTAAAAGTATAAAAATAAGTCACACATTTTGAGGGGACAGAATACTTTGGTTGTTTTTGTGTTCAAGAAAATAATTAAGTTGAATGTTGAAATAAGAATCGACATCACAGCACTCGGATGACTCCAACAAGCGCTGTGTCTCCATCTTCAGCAGCAAGCAAAGAGTTCCAGTTTTTATGGCAGCAGTAACTGTCTAACTGTATATCCATCTGACCTTTCCCTTGAGTTTTGATCGTCAGCCAGATCCCCTGGTAACTCCTCGCAGTGCTATTCTCCTCAGACTGTAATGACCTATTTGTGAAAATAATTAAGTATTGAACTGATCACTTTACATTTATCTTCACAGGAAGTGTGGCTCAAGAATTGGCAAAAAACCTTGGTAGTATTAAGGAGGTTACTGGATACATCATAATCAAGCGGTCTTATGCCCTAAGGAACCTGTATTTCCTAAAAAGTTTGGAGATATTTGGAGATTCTCCTCTATATGATGGGTATGTCCTAATTCTTTGTGAATAATAGAATCATATATCTTAGAATAATATATACTTTCTACTGGTTGTCTTTTTGAATGAATCACAATAATACTTTTTCATTATGATTTATTTTCCAATGGGACATCTATGTTGAGAATCTCTGGGGATTGAAATATTAACAGTCTGTAATTTTCAAGTTTATTGCAAAATATATTGATATTACACATGGAAAAGGATGGCTGGTTCTTTTGCCTTAACTATGTGTATCTAATATTTGGGTTCATATCCACAGTAAGGCAGACTTGTTTTTTTTAAACTGACATTGGCTCTCAGGTTGTCTCAGCCTAAAATGGCTACCAGGCAATGTCATGGGAAGTAAATTTAACCCAAAGGATGCTGACCACATCAACCATTGAGGGCTGATTGTTCTTTCCAAATTATGAGTCTAGCAACACATTTACATGCCAATGCACCATTAGGGTGAAAAGAATTGTTTACTTTGTTGTTGTTCTTGTTGTTAATTTTTTTTATTTATTAAAAGTTTCAAATGTAAGCAGATTAGAGAAGTCATGTCAACAACTAATGCAATAATCTGGCTGGAGAGAAGCCATCCCTCAGGCATACATTGCCAGTAACACAATGAGAGACTGGAACAGTGTTCAGCAAACAGAGTCATGAAAATAACACCTCAGAAACAATGTACACCCTACTCACCTTACAAACTAAGCAGCATTTAATGCGCCTGAGAATAAGAGGACATACCCTGTAACAAGACAATGAACAAACTTATCTGGATGTTACCTCTGACCTAAAATAATATGGAAACCACAGTTTGACACCAACCCCCCCCCCCCCCCCCCCCCCAACACACACACACACACATACACACACAAAAGGAATTATAGACTGCACTGATTCAATAATAAAATTAAAAAAAAAAGAACTAATAAGGACAGACTGGGAAGTGAGTTGCATATCTTTAACAGGACATTGTGGTACTAACCCCAGCATTTTTCGCTGTTGTGGTCTTTCTAGGCACATTTTACGTCAAGTAGTTTGCCATTGCTTTCTGAATAGTCAACTCTTAATATCACTGTCAAAACCAACGCAAAGCGACCTGCTGCCAAATCGCCTATAGCTGGGATCAAACCTGACACCCCGCATTAAAAAGTATGTTCCCAACGCCTAAGGGACAGATGCCAACAGAATGGGGAGCCTCCTACACAATACTCAGGAAGACCTACCTCGAATATGTTCACCCAGTGTTAGAATATGGCATATCAGCATGAAGAAAAACATATATCAGCTACTTTCAGAAATGTAATAAAACATAATCTTTTAAGCTGTGTCCGGCAGCAAACATTGAGCACCAGCTGCAGCAGTGGAGACAAAGACAGGCTTGTAATCCATTGGGACAGGAACAATTCAAAAATGCTTATTCAGTACTACAAGGTCGCGTCACTGTATAAATACACCAATGGACAGTAACTTTTAAACTGTGGTACCTTGTGAAGTTGTCTTGCGTTGCTATCGACAGTGGTACCAAGAGCTGACCATTTCAGGAAGCAGTATCAAACTACTAAACGTAAGATTTGCCGAGAAAAACCACAACAGACAACAAATGCTGGGGTTGGTTCTGCAACATCATGTAAAGGAAACGCAAATAACTAACATAACCTCGAGAAGCTGCATAACTTACACTTCCAGTTAGGGCCTTTTACCCGTAAATGTTACTTTTCTGACGTCTGTAGTGGCTGTTTATGAGAGGCATAGTTAACACTGTTAGCTGGAGGATAGGATATAAATAAATCAACTAAAAATAATATTTAATTGGGTTTTTCTTTGAGCCAAACAGTTTTTATAACGCCAAGTTGACATCACAGGGGTCAGCGCAGTGAGTCACCGGATACATTTTTTTGTTTTTGAGTAGCACAACACTCAAATTGTTGTCAAAGTCAGTGTAAAGAGGTATATTAATAAAGTAACAGAGGATATATTGATCGGCACTCATAGAAAGAAGTAGAAAGATAGAAGAACACACTAGACAACATAAAAATTGAAAGCTATTGTTACTCTGCCGGGAATTGAACCTGTCACCTTCAGACTGTTTGTGCCTCCCTATGGATACAAGTGCACTAAGAACATGGTCAAGTAGGCACCCCCCGCCCTCCCCCCAAAAGTGTCTCCTTGGCCATGTCTATCGTACAGCTTGAAATTCACAACCATGAAATACGGACAGAATTCATTTCAAACCATTGAAATGGTACAATAGGTTACATAAATTTAAATTAACGAAGCATATGTCAAATAACAAGCACAGCAACAATTTATGAACACAGTAGACCTTAATGCTTTGTCTTGAATACACAAACATTTAAGAAAGGTATTTGATTGGTAGGTTCTGGTGTGTATACATCATTCCTATAAATAAACAGAGGGGGAACCCTTGAGGCCATTAAATATTATATATTAATAAAGTAACAGAGAATGTATTGATCGCCACTCATAGAAAGAAGTCGAAATATAGAAGAACACATTAGACAACGTAAAAATCGAAAGCTTTAGTTACCATGCCGGGTATTGAACCAGTCACCTCCAGATGGCGTGTGAGCCTCGCTATGGATACAAGTGCACTAAGAACATGGTCAACTAGGCACCTCCCAAAAAAGGTGTCTTAATGGCCATGTCTGTCGAACAGCTTGAAATCCACAACTATGAAATACGGACAGAATTAATTTCAAATCATTTAAATGGCACCTTAGGTTACAGAAATTTATATTAATGAAGCATATGTCAAATAACAACCACAGCAACAATTTACGAACATGGTAGACCTGATTGCTTTGTCTAGAATACGCAAACATTTAAGAAAGGTATTTGATTGGTAGGTTCCAGTGTGTATACATCATTCCTGTAAATAAACAGAGGGGGAAATCTTGAGGCTGTTAATTATTATATAGTAATAAAGTAACAGAAAATGTATTGATCGGCACTCATAGAAAGAAGTAGAAAGATAGATGAACACACTAGACAACATAAAAATCAAAAGCTTTAGTAACAGGGCCAGAAATTGAAATTGAAATTATTTATAGTGTAAATAGGTGTGCTATGTCACCTGCAGCTGACTTTAAACCTAATTTAATAGTTTATTTATAATTGTTTTATCACCCAAAATGCTTTACATGAAAATATATTATTCTCTTAGGTACAGCCTCATTTTAGTGGATAATAGCAACTTACAAGACCTCTTCCCTGAGGAGCAAATGAAAAAGATGAAATTTAAGAGTGGCCAAGTGTTCTTTCATGGCAACAACAAGTTGTGTTTGTACAAAATCAATCACTTTGTGAAGCACCTATACTTAAAGAAAGACCCAACTGAGCAAGATATCAGCAGGGCTACAAATGGGGATCTCACATCCTGTATGTATTTTATGCATTAATTATGTATGACTAGTTCAGTTTATATAATGCGCTTGTTAAATCTGCTTTTATGCTATTTACTTATTGCAAATTACTAGTTGATTTTTTTGTTTGTGGGTGCTTGTTTAATCTGCTATAAATCATTTATTTGAGTTGAGAACTGACATTAGCTCACTTATGATATTATAATAAATGCTCCATGCCCCATCTACGGCAGCCAGTAAAAAAGAGTCCCATTGTCAAGGATAGCAGAAGCAGGTTGATTATATGTTTGTCTTGCCTTTCCTCTGAGTGCACTATTCTCTCCAAACTATAATCTGTCGACACGACCACATTGTTCATTTACTTCTAAGGGGCCTTGACCTTATCTAGCTTGTCATTCATCAGTTCACCACACAGCGGTGGAGCACCAAACAGTCTATTCGACTGATCATTTCCCAAGACATTTGCATATCCAAAGACAAATTTCGAGGCCACTTTTACTTTTTATGACATTTCATGATACTTATTTTAGACTGGGTTTACCTTGAATAAAAAGATAATTGTAAAAGTTGATCAGGATTCAAATCCAAAATCCTTAGGTCATCAGGCAAACATTTAACTCAGTTTTTATCAAACGTTGAATGTTGAATTAAGAATCAACATCACAGCACTCGGGACACTCCCATAAGTGCACCAAGTGAAGATTTCCAATTTTAATGGTACCAGTAATCGTCTGATTGTTTATCCATCTCATCATTTCCCTTGAGTGTTGAGCGTCAGCCAAATCTCCTGGTTACTCCTCACAGCACCATTCTCCTCAGACCGTAATGATCTATCTGGGCCTCCGCCAAGTGGTACAGAGCCAGCTAGTCTATTTTCCTGCTCATTTCACAACACACCAGCATGACCTGGAGAAAATATCCAAAGGATGCTAACTACCCAGGACCTCTAAAGTGATGCTTGCCACTCTGCACGAAGCATGCCTGTTTTCACTTTTCTCAACATGCTCTATGAGTCAGTTAAAATCTCAGCAGGTATGTACAGATGATTCTCAAGCCAGCGGAAGGCAGCAGAGATTGCCTCCACCTCCATTCTCAAACTAGACATTATGATATCATATGCAAGGCTTTGTGCACTGGGCAACATCCATTTGCCTTTGCTATGAAACTCCATGCACTTCATCTGCCCCTCAACACAGATGAAAACAACCAAAGTATTCTTGTGTCACTTAAAAGTCTCTCATTAAAGGAATTTATCAGTCATCATGTCGTTAACATTTTCTGTAATAACAGATTAAATATTATATTATTTGATCACTTATGCATATTCTATTTCCATGTGAATAGTGCTTTTTTTTTCAACCCGCAGTTGTTATTTGTTAGCTGAAGTTTGAACTTCACTGTAGATGGGTCACCTAATATTTGTTCCATTCCTGTACCAGTGGTTATCACACAATCCTTCAATGTCCTATTTGAAAACTAGGGATAATGTATATTAACCCCAGCAAAATCGTTAAGCTTGCACATGTAAAATAAAGGTATAAGGCAGCAATCAAATGAGCCAACACTAATACTACATTATCAGAAATGCAGCTTACTACTGATGCAAACAGTTGGTTACAAAAGCCAGTATTGCACCTTCAATGCTGTATAATTACTCCCCTTCTTAACATAATCTGATTGGCACCTTTCCATCTTTCCAGAGATAGTGATATATTGTGCTATGAGGAGCCATGGGACTCACAGCCCATGGCAATGGTGAGTGTAGCAAGGACTGGCCATGTTGGGAAAAGTCCTTTTATCACCACAGAGGATGTCCTTAGGCGCTCTACAATCCTCTATTCTCCAGGTTTGACCCAGTCACCTGTGCCTTCATAGTCTGAGCACTGAGAAAACTATTGTAATACCTGCTCTTTCTAATACCTCAGTGTTTGTGATCTTGTCCTGCTACCTAATACCAAATATTCTTCTTAAGCATAACATGTAAAAGCTATTAGTCCTTTCACCTGGTGAAAATAAGTTGGCCAAGTTTCACTGCCATAAAAGCAGAGTGCTGAGAAAACAAAGCATGAGAAACAAGAACTTTTGTTTTTTTTTCATGAGCTTTCTGTTCTCCCAAGCTCTTTTTATTAATTCTGCTCATTGTTGTTGCTACCTTACCTATCCTGATGTTGATTTCTTGGTGAGGTGATAGTTTATTATTTACTGTAGAACCCAGATAGGTAAAATGGTCACCTGTCTCCAGCTGTTTACCAGCAATGAAGACCGCAGGTCCATCATTAACTGCTTGCACCATAATCTTTGTCTACTTTTTGCTGGCTGTTAGTCCGAATTCACAGCATGCATCATCAAATGCAGATCGTAAACATTGCAGCTCCTCCTCTGAGTGGTTTCTAATTGCTGCATCATCTGCAAACAGCAGTTCTCTGATAAGTACCTTTCTTATCCTAGTTTTGGCCTTTAGCTAATGAGCATTTTATAGGCTGCTGTCAGATCGAAAATGGATAAATATACCACTTTCCTGATCTTGAAAGATATGTTTAAAAAAAAAATTAGAAGTATATTACAAAGAGAGTAGGAGCAAGTACACAACCCTGCTTCACTCTGTTGTTGATTACAAACTCCTCAAATGTTACGCCATCAGAGTTGATTCTACTTTTCATACCTGTGTGGAACAACTCAATATTGCTCAGTAGGGTAAGTGGTCACCCAATCAGCCGCCTGCTATTATTATTGCAGTTACAACATGAAGTTGTCGCATACACAGCAGAAGAAAACAACAACATATATATGAAATCCATAGCTCACAGTATCACACCAAACACTCAACTCAGTATCTAGGCAGCAGAATCTTTGAACTCCCAGTCTAGAAATGGGGAATTTGCAACAGCAAGCTGCAGTGGCAGTGGCCACCCAGCGGTCAGCTATATTGGACCAGAAGTGAATCTTGAGTGGTTGCTCACTGAGTTTCACTTATGCTAGAAGTCAGATTTGTTTCTTTATCTTGTGTGTGATACGTCTTTTATTCGTCCAGAAGCAACATTTAGCCTAAACTTAAAGATAACCAGATATTGTAGCTATGATTGTAAACTAGTCCTGTGTTAGATTTCTGTCAGTATGTTTCATTGAAAGTATCAACATGTAATAGTGATTTCAACACATTTATATCCTCCACAGGTTTTGAACAGCATCTGAAGCTTAGTGTCACAAATGTGCTCCATGATAGTGCCTTGCTGAACTGGACCAAGGACACTTCAAATACAAGCCATCAACTGACCTACATTATAAATTACAAAGAATTGTGAGTGGATTGTCAATGATATATAAGTTGTATGTGATTAAAACAAATAAGTACTTCATTTTCTTGATTAGCCTACACTCAGAAACTGATACAACTAAAAGCTTCAATATTCTTGATTTTTATTTCTGTGGCAAATAAATCATATAGCTAAATAATTTTTAAAATTATTTTAAACTTGTACTGTATTCAGTCGGTGTCTGTGGCTTAGGCATTATAAGTGTCTCTTGCGTTGGTTTCAACATTGGTATCCAGAAGCCGACCATCCAGAAAGCATTTACTAGACGTAAACTTGCCTAGGAAAACTACAACAGCCAAAAAATGCTAGGGTACTGCAGCGTCCTGTATAGAATACGCAACTAACTTTTTAAACTGTATTCAACAGATCCATAAAAATTCATTGATTATTCCAGAAATATGAAATTTAATGCAATACTGACTATAAACTGCATACACAAAATAGTTGCATGGGAGTAGACCATGAAGCAGACACAAAAAATGATTGAGAAATAATATACAGTCAGACCTACAAACCCTTAGAGTCACCAATCATAAAGACATGGCCAAACACATAGAAGAATGGAGGTGGATGATATCCTCAGCAGTGAACGTCAAGAGCTCAGAATTTAGAAGAAGAAAAGATGAAGATTGACTGTAGCAGGATGTATTCAAACAAAACTGTGATTAAAAAGATATATAGGCTCATAAGGGTCAAGTCACTGACCACAAATGCATTTGCTGTTCCTCCTGTTCCTTTTTAGAAACAAATTAAAATCTTGACCATGTTTAACCTGCTGCTAGCTAGCTGAAGCTGCTAACAGTCTCTGGTTATATTTGTGGTCTATTGGCTGTTCCCTGCATCTCATACATTTGTTAGCTCTCTGTCTTCAGTGGTTAACTATTGGACAGATGATTCCCACTACCCATCAAACCATTTAATTCTAAGTGCTTGGATGCTGTCTTCAGTATATCTCATAGCATTTAGCAGCTGTCATTATTAGTTCTGTGTTGGTTTTGGTATTTTGAATTCTTTTTAGTTGGCCTCATGTATAATGCTCTTGTCTGACTTCACTGCTTTTTACTTTTTCTTTTTAGTCTGGTCATAAAAACTTGAGCCATAATGAGTTGATATAAAAGATTTCAGAGGGTCAAAAGTTGACTAAAAATGATCTGAGACAAAATATAAATTACTGGATAATACAGAGTAGTTAATATCACACCTGTCTGAGATGGAAAAAGTGAAATCCTGTTGAGAAACAAGTTCAGATTTTGAAAACCTTGACCTTGTAATGAAGCCTAATTTAGTGAATAAACTAATATACATTCACCTTTGATGAAGCTGTATGGCATTACAACAGTTTAGAACTAAATGTCTTCTATTAGCACTCACTATGTTGAATGTTGAATAAAGAATCGACATCATAGAACTTGGCACACCCGTATAAATGCTCTGTTCCCATATTCTGCAGCAAATGAAGATTTCCAATTTCAATAGCGCCAGTAACTGTCTGATTGTATATCCATCTCAACCTTCCCTTGATTCATCTCATGTTTTTTCCTGAGAAGACTATAGACTCCTGTCCAGGTATTTTAACAGCATAGTACAAGGTGTGAATATCCTATAACTAACCAGAGACTAATACATGTAATAATATCTATACATATCTGCTGGGACCCAAATTATGTTCATGTTAACTGAGTGTTCATCTTGAGTGAGTTGTGTGTTGAGAAGGTTTTACTGTAGGTAAGGCCTTTTACTGCACCTGAGTATAAAAGGGCAGGTGAAGAAGAAAACTTTTTTTTAAAAGTCTAAATTCATTTGATCTCCTTTTAAAGATTTTTTTTTCTTTCATTTTGCAGCAATGATGAGAGTGATATTAACATTGACCAAGGTCAGGATGCATGTTCTGCTGATGTGTATGTATTTATTTTTTCAACTTTTCATGTTATTTTGAGAAAACTTATACTGATTGTTTCCCCCCCCCCCCCCCCCCCCCCCCCCCCCACCCATGTATTATTTGATATCAGATAAATTCATGTGTTCACTCAGTATTATGGGAGTTGTCATGGCGTTAGTGGCTAGATTACCGCCTGCAGGTTGGAAGATCATAGATTCGAGTCCTAATGGACCCTGACTTTTTTTTTTTTGTAAATGACCTTGACTCCCATGTTGACCCAGCCTTTAGTGGGTACCAGGTGCAGTCATGGGAACTAAAGGCGGCTGGCATAATGTTGACCACATCACGCACCAAGTGCTGATTGATCTATAAAAATATAGGTCTAGCCCTATATTCCCAATAAGCCTAAAGGCGAGGAAAAGAGACCTTTATTTACTAAGTATAATCATTTAAACAGTGACACTATGTAGGTAAGATTATGTACATATCTTTAAAGCCAGACAATGTTATCATTCTTTGATATGTTTGGAGGCTTTTTTTTCTCCCAGTACAGGTTCTTTTCTCCTAGTATATGGTTCTTTTCTCTCAATATAGGTTTTTTTTTCTCAGTATAGGGTTCTTTTCTTCAGTAAAGGGTTTTCTCCCAGTAAAGGGTTCTTTTCTACCAATAAAGGGTTCTTTTCTTCTAGTGTAAGATTCTTTTCTTTCAGTAAAGGGATCTTTTCTCCCAGTGTATGGTTTTTCTTCCAGTAAAGGGTTCTTTTCTCCCAATATAGGGTTCTTTTCTTCTAGTGTAAGATTCTTTTTTCTCAGTATAGGGTTCTTTTCTCCCAGTGTATGGTTTTTCTTCCAGTAAAGGGTTCTTTTCTCCCAGTATAAAATTCTTTTCTCTTAGTATAGGGTTCTTTTCTCCAAGTATAGGGTTTTTCTCCCAGTAAAGGTTTTTTTTCTCCCAGTATAGGGTTTTTCTCCCAGTAAAGGGTTATTTTCTCCCAATATAAGATTCTTTTCTCCCAGTATAGGGTTCTTTTCGGGAGGGACCGAAGAAGACGGACAGTCATGTCTGAACAAAGCTAGAGCTGCTTTTGGAAGAATGAGGCAAATCTGGAAATCCAACAATTACTGCAGAGGAACGAAACTCTGACTCTACAAGAGCATCATTTTGCCAGTTCTTCTTTATGGAGCGGAATGCTGGAGAATGACCAAAAAAGGATGCACACAAGCTGTCCACCTTCCACCACACATTTCTAAATAGAATTAATCAAAATTTTCTGGTCAGATACAATCTCAAACACTAAACTACTTCAAGTCACAAACCAAAAAACTTTAGACGGTATGATAACCAAGAGAAGATGGAAATGGCTTGGCCACATTATGAGAATGAATCCTGATATACCTGCCAAAACAGCTCTCACATGGACACCAGAGGAAAAGAGAAAACAGGGGCGCCCAAAAACAACATGGAGACGAACGATGGAAAGTAACCTGAGTGTGGCATCTCTGACATGGACAACTGCACTGAAGATTGCACAGGACAGGAAAGCATGGAAAGTCCTCTCTGAAGCCTCATGTGCCACTAGTCATAACCAGAACTGATGATAGGGTTTTTTTCTCCCAGTATAGGATGCTTTTCTCTCAGTGAAGGCTTCCTTTCTTTCAGTACAGGCTTTTTTCACTTCAGTGGCACATCTGGCATATTGTGGTAAAATCATATCTTTCTGTATAGGCCAATCAGCTCTTTGTGTTGTCAGAACTACTCCAGCTGCATTTACTTTTCAGGATTTGACCTGGTATCATTTTAGGCTGAGTTGATCAGGGAGCCAAATACTATGCCATCACAACTCCCTTTTTTCCTCTGAGATTTACTGCTAACTTTTCTTGATTGCGGCAGAATATACTTTTTGTGGTTATTTAGTGTGCAACTCAATATATTAAACCTCTCTTGTCTCAAAGTAAGTGAAGGAGCCCTTTTTTATGTCATAAGCATATTGGGGCAAATGTTACTAGACTTATATGTTTTCAGAATAATTAGCTCTAGATGGGTAATCAGGTCAACATCGTACTGGCTGCTTTACTTCACATAATTTTTCTTGGTACCGAGAGTTTACTTGGGAGTCCTAGGTCCATTATTAAAAATCCACCTAGTTGAACCAAATATCATCAAGCCGGCAGACAAGCATCTAGCCACCATGCTATCACAGCTTTCTTTACTGAGACTAACTTTCTTGATTGTGTAAGAATGTTTGTTTTGTTTTATGTTCAGCTCAGTATGGAGGACTAGGCATGGCAGAATGTTTAGCTTCCAAGTAATTTTTGCTTTTGACATCGTTTTGCTAATGCAGTTCCAACATTTGGACGGAAGTTTACAGTTTCACTGCCTAAGCTACTAAGTTAAGTCCTTGGTGCAGCACTGTGAGCTGTATTTTTCATGTGGAATGCATTTGTATTTGTGCAGCGGTTGTGTCATGGTATTCAATATAGTCAGTAACAGGTTTAAGTTGGGGCTGGCGAAATATCTATTGTAACAATTTTACATGTGTATAGTTAGCTTATTGTGACCAGCTACTTCCATCAATGAAAACCTGCATTTCTGGTGGGGACAGTTGGCTTTGGCACCTTTAGCAACTCCCTTGTGTATTTACTGCATGTACATAAATCTGGATTATGCCAGGACTAATTTGTTCACCAGTGTTTCAGATGGGACAGTAAGGGACCTTTCATTTGATTTTACTAGCACAGGAACAAAGCAATATAGGGTGACCCAACTTAAGTGAAGTTGAAACCTCGACTAAGACTAATAAGTATTAGTATTTTCAATAATTATTTAGTATCAACACGCAACATATGTAAATGTTCTCTTTCTCACACCATCTGTGCATCAGACCTATTTTGATAGATTCATATTTTTACAGCACATGATGGCTGATTTGGTCAGTATCAAACCAGGAGATTGATTATTCAGTGACTGCACACTAAGGAAACAATATATCAACCTTGTTAATGACACAATGTTAGTAAGATTGTCTGATTATTCATAGTACAATTTCTATCATAATCTCAATGCAAATCAACGCAAAATGTGAAACAATACAAATTGCATTTTGGTCATGTAAATAATTGCAAGGTATATAAATTTAAAATAAATGTATACCCTGAAAACTCAGTTAACACTATATATCCCAATGATAAGCCTGAGAGATGAACAGGATAATTTTGAAAACAAAAAACACCTGCATCACACCAGGTTGTTTTTTTTTAACCTCTCATGCCTTTCTTTGCATTTATTGAAGACCTAGATTATTTAGTTCAGCTTAATATGGATTCAGACCAGAGATCTTCAGGCCCACAGGCAAGCATCCAGCCACCTTTCTCTCATGAAAAGATATCAAACCAAAAAGCAAAGTAGAACCAGTAAGCTTTACATTATCCTAAAGACTGATGACCAGTATACATTGTGGCTAGAGAGCTTTCATCAGCTATTACATAAATATACAATACTCCAGACATGAACAAGAATACACAAAATCACATAAGTGTCTTAGAGAGGAAGTACATATCTGTCTGAACAGCTGAATCTCTGACATGTGTGTCAGAGACCCACACACACACACAAAAACGGTGACACTAAAAATTACAGTAGATGAGTTAGATGGACACAAACAGATAGTGACAGTTTTGGGAGGATGGGACACATACAAGAGGTGAATTTAGTGAACTGCAGTGAAGCTATGAAAATATCATCATAAGGTGACAAACCATAAGAAAAGTAGAACCAGTACCATACGTTACCACAAACACAAGTGAAAGTTGAAAGTTGTGGCTAGACAGCCTTGAATTTCAGTTTTCTCAGAGACTAACTGCTCTTGTTTGTATCTGAATGTATTCTGATGATTATTCTAATGCTTATTTAGTATGTGGGCAAACATATGTAAACCTTCTATCTGTCTCTCAAACATTTTGATTCAAATAGGTGGATGACCACTGAACAGCCTTCTGCTCCTGGTTCACATCCATACCAGACATATGCTTTGAAAGATCTTAAAGCTTACACAACATATGCTGTCTACATTCAGGCATATGTGCTTCCAACAGCCACTCACTCGGCAGTCACAAATGTGGAAACCTTCATCACAGATCCATTCTGTATGTCAGTATTGTTGTTGTTCATTATATTTGTATTGTTTTCTTAGGCCCAATAGAGGATGATGCTTAATTAATGAGGGTACTTTGTGTATTGTTAACAAAATAAGTCATACATAAATTTTTTCCTAGTGGTAGTAATTTAAACAGTAGTAATAATATCCAGTTCCCCCTCTGATGTGTCTCCACCTTGTAGTGGTAGAGGGGCTTGTGTGTCCCAATGACCCTAAGAGCTATGCTGACGGTAGTTAAGCTACTGGTAGGGTCTCCAATGTCAGACAGGTCGAAGGAGAGGAACCAGACAAAGAGAGACACGCCCTAAATTTCATGATGTCACAAATGAAAATATATCGATATGGTGCTAATTTTATGGAGCCCCACCAGTCAGAGTTAGTGCCGAGCCCCTTGCCTTAAAGTGGTCCACCCATAACTACTGGTGGGCACCTACCCCTGTGCTGTGGAGTCAAGGCACAGGGCATTAGGGTAAAAACTATTGACCAAATATCAAGGACACTCAACATACTACAGTGGAATGCTGAAGGAGTTTTTAAATAAAAAACTTTTTCTAATAAACCGTCTTCATGAAGACAAAATTGATGTGGCATGCATCCAAGAGACACACCTCAATGCCCATCACAGATTTTCTGTCAGAGGATATCAAGCTATACGCTGCGACCGAGAAGGGCACAAGGGAGGAGTTCTAACACTTTTTCGAAACTCTATACCAAGCAGTGAAGTAGATGTGAACTCAAATAACAAATCAGAAATTATAGGTGTTGATATCATGATAAAGGATTAGAAAATCAGAATATACAATTAAATAACCTAGCAAACAAAGATCTTGCACTTTCAAGAATGGAAATAAATGACACAAACTGCATTGTAGTTGGAGACTTTAATAGTTGCTTAGAAAGATGGGGATACCCAGATACTGACACCAGAGGAGATGAAGTGGAGGACTGGGAAATAGACTCCAATCTTCATTTAATTAACATACCAGAAGACAAACCCAGCTTCTGCTCTAGAAGATGGTGCAAGTCCTCCACTCCTGACTTAGCCTTCTGCACAGGAGACATTCTTCACAAAACTAATCACAGTGTACTAGATCAGTTAGCAGGCAACGATCACAGACCAGTAAAGCTTATTGTAAATATGGGTTGTGTCCCACAAGAGCAGAAACCATTGCCTCAATGGAATTACAAACGCGCTGATTGGGATAATTTTGCTTTGCTGACAGACGAGTACTGTAAAAACATAAACACATGATATGGCAACATAAAGACAATAGTAGCAAGTCTAAATAAAGCAATACTACAGGCAGCATATGAGTGCATTCCAAGAGGTGCGAGGAAAAATTACAAACCATACTGGACCAAAGAACTGCAGATCCTGGAGAAAAAAGTCGAAGAGGCCAGGAAGACAGCAGAGAGAGAACAGACAACTGAAACAAACATTTCCCTGAAAGCCATCTCAGCAAAATACAAAAGAACATTAAATCAAACAACTAGAAATACCTGGCAAGAAAAAACAGAAATCCTCAAATTGGACAAAGATGGAAATAAATTGTGGAAATTAGTAAAAGCAACAATGAGGGGCCTAATAACAAACAAATAACTATTAAACAGGGTAACAACATACTAACAGGAAAACAGGCTACAAATACACTGATGGAATACTATGCTAGTGCAAACCACATTGATATCACAACAGAACACAAAAATTCAATGTAAGAGCAACGGACATGTCAAAATAACACAGAGAAATCATAATTTATGATGGAAAATCTGAATATCAAAGAGCTGGAGCGGGCAGTAAGTTCCCTGAAAAAGAAATCACCAGGGAAGGATGAGATCACAAATGAAATGATAATAGGACTGGGTACTAAGGCGAAAAAGCAATTACTAGTAGTCTTTAACTGCAGCTGGAAGAGAGGAATAGTCCCTCAGGCATGGAAGGAAGCTATACTTATACCAGTCCAGAAGAAAGGAAAAGACCCGGTGGAACCAAATGCATATCGACCAATCAGCTTACTTAGCTGTGTAGGGAAATTGATGGAATGCATTATAAATAATAGATTAATGGGGCATCTAACAGAAAAGCACCTACTAACTCCACAACAGGCAGGATTTAGAAAGTACAGATCCACTGAAGACCAAATAACATATATAGCCCAGGAAATAGCGGATGCCTTTCAAGAGAAAAAACACACACTAGCAATGTGGGTAGACTTAGAAAATGCATTTGATAAAGTGTGGAAGGAGGGACTCGAAAGAAAAACTACAAAAAATGCACATTTGTGGAAAAATGTACAACTGGATCAGTCACTACCTTGAGAATAGAACTGCCAGGATGAAAGTACAAGGACAAACTAGCAAAAAAAATGTTGTTAGAACAAGATGTACCCCAAGGGGGAGTATTATCACCAACATTGTTCTTAACCTACATAAATGATATTACAAGTAATTTTCCAACCAGAGTATACACCTCATTCTTTGTAGACGACTTAGCTATGTGGACTAGCGAAGAACATATTAGTGTAGCCAACAGTAGAATGCAGAAAACCTTGTCAGTGTTAGAGGAATGGTCAAAAACATGGCTAGTGAATATCAGTGAAGAGAAAACAACATGCATTGTGTTCTCCCTTTCAAATAAAAAACAGCTTGTTAAGCTAGTGGTAAATGGAAAAATACTGCTTCAAGAGAAATATCCAAAATACCTAGGTGTCACATTTGATTGCCGCCTGACATGGAAGACACAGGTAGAATCAAGTCGAACAAGAGCAAGGCAAAGAATGGCAATCATGAAAAAACTCGCTGGCACAACATGGGGAGCTGATGAGAAAGTTCTCAAGAAACTATACACTGGACTAGTAAGGCCAGTCCTTGAATATGGTATTACAGCTTGGGCAACCAAAATCAAAGAATGGGCATTATAACTGGGGCCATGAAAACAACACCTATTAATGAACTATAAAAGTTCACAGGTCTGCAGCCAATGGAGGATAGGAGAGACAGCAGAGCCCAGCAACAAACAGAAAAATTTAGAAGGCTGACAGATCACCCCATGTATCAAAGGTTTAATCATCTGGGAAGGGGAAGACTGCAAAAACTAAAATCAGGGAAGATCCTGTAAAAAACTTATTAGTATCCAAACCCGTCCACATTACATATACACTCCCTGCTTGGAGACAGCAGCATCTGCCTGAATTGATGGAAAATATTCCTGGTATTGAGAAAAAAACCAGAATGAAACAGAAAGAAGGAAAATCACATTAAACTTCATAGAAGAACAATACCCAAGTAACACCTGGATTCATGCATATACAGATGGATCAGCAACAAATTCAACAGAAAATGGAGGTGGGTGAATCGTCCTGAATCTGAAAAATGGATCAAAGAAAACACAGTCGATTGCAACCGGAAAGTTCTCAAGTAATTTTAGAGCAGAGTCAGAGGCCCTGAGAACTGCAGCAGAAATGCTTCTGTCAGAAAAAAATAAAGAGGAATACACAGCTATCTTCACAGATGCAAAGTCAGTTGTCTCAGCACTAAAGAGCAAAAATGATTCAGAACTAGCAGACCTTAGAGCTGCACTCCATGGACTGAGTCAGAAATCAAAAAGAGTCCTAATATATGGGATTCCATCCCATTGCAACATACCTGGAAATGAAGAGGCTAACAGATTGGCAAAGGAAGGTGGAAGACTACCACTGCCTGATATAGACATAACATATGATGAGGCCAAGAAGTTTGTAAGAAGTACATATAGTATCAAATGGGATTCTGAACACCCAGGCTACAAGAAGGATGATGCATACTACCAACTTGGCCGAAGAGAACTAGTAGTGATCTTTAGACTCCGCACAGGACATAATAGGCTGAAACACCACTTGTTCAATAAAGTAAAGAAAGGAGACAATGATGATTGTAACTGTGGAAAGGGTAAAATTACGGCTAAACACCTTCTGAAAGAGTGTCCAATATATGCAGAACAGAAAATTATTCTGGCTAACACCCACAACTTTTGAGCATAAACTGAATGGAGATGTCAACAACCTTAAGTTAACTGCTGAATTCTTCAAATATATCCACACTGACATCCGAAGGTATAAGAAGAATAAAACTGTCTGGGATTCTCTGAGCTGATAGTCTCTAGAGGTGCAGAGCTCGTAAACAACATGAAACTTTAGTGGATGAGGAAGTCCGCTGCAGTAAAAGTCTAACATGCAAAAGAAGCAAAGTACTCATTTTGTGGTGTAGGTAAATGAAAGTCCAGGTCTGCAGGCTGCATACTGTTGGCTACAAAAGAGATAGCCCATGATGTATGAGATGTTCAATATATGGAAGTGAGGTTAAACAGTCATGAGCAGGACGTGACGATTCCTTGGGTGAGCCCAGTACCAGATCACCATGTTTTAGCTCTGCATTTGTGGATGCCTCCTTGGATGGCGGGGAATGCTCATGTTCTGCCCCTGCCTTCTCTTGAGGGCTGATCAGCATTATGTGGCCTCTCTGGATAAGCCTGATTGCGGCACCACCTGTGACCTAGGAAATAAAGATGACTACACAACAGTGAGACTGTCATGTCCCCAGAAACTAACCGGGAAGGCTAACCCGGTCAACAAATGCCCGCAGAAGTCAGAGATGTTGGCCGAAATGTGCAACTATCGCAGCCTTGCTGTAAACGGACACAACGCAATTTATATCTTCGAATGAACGCAGAAGAAGAAGAAGAATATCCTGTTCAACCCATCAGGATTATAATTGGGATATATAGTTTTGTTTTCTATTTCAAGAAGGGATATTTATGCCTATCTGTTGTGAGGGTTATAATTGGGATATATATAGAGTTTTGTTTTCTATTTCAATAAGGGATGTTTATGCCTATCAGTTATGTTTGTTTATTTAGAATGGCATATAAGTAATAATGTCCTGTGCAACCCATCAGGGTTATAACACAGAGTTTAGTTTTTTTCTGTTTCAATCAGGGATGTTTATGCCTATCAGTTATGTTTGCTTATTCAGTATTGCATAGCTCGTGTATCATTTGTATACGATTGTAGAAGTATTGATTGTCAAGTTCAAATTTTTTTTGGGGGTGTATTTTCAAACAATGAGATTAATTATATTTAGTTTATAGTAGTTATATTGTGCCTGACTGACTGACTTTCAACCCCACCATCACATCACACAAGCGATAAACACCTGATGACACAATGTGCCGCCATGTGGATGAGGATCACCGTGGAGAGGTCTCAAAAACCGCGTTCAACCATTAGGCCATATTTATGGCCAGGCTTTATTTTGACCCCTGGCATGAGTCAGAGTAGGGCTTCAAATAACAAAAAATTGCATCCTAAAAAGGACGGCAAGATTTATTTTAATGCATAAGATTTAATGATTAATATATTGTGCAGTCTTTCTAAGTGGATATCTAAAGTGATCTGGGATACCATTATTGTGTAATAAATATTAATACCTCATATGTTAACCCTCAGGAGCCATTGTGATGTAGCAGCTAGATGCTAACCTGCAGATCACAAGGTTGTGGTTTCAGGTCCTAACTGAGCCGAAAGATTTAAAACACAAAATGACCCAGGTTGATCCAGCCTTAAATGGGTACCAGGTAAAGCCCTGGAAAGTGAAGTGTCAATTACTGTGTCTATAGGTCTAGTCTTTTATGTACCGTATGCCTGAAGGCTTGGAAAAGGGTCCTATACTTATACGCTAACGTCTGTTGTGATGTATTGTTTAAACTTTCCGTTAGTTTGTGTTTTAGTAAATGAGGAAACTACATATAACTCCTCTCTGTGATGCTTTACAGCATAAGCGGTAGGACAAATGAAGGAAAAGAAGTTTGAATATTGTTAACAGCTGGTTGGCACCTTGTCTCTCCGGATGATAGTGTTTACATTGTGCTAAGAAGCAACATGGGACTCACAGCCCACTAACAGTGTGGTTATACTGTGAACTGTCCAGACAATTGTGATGTATTGTGAGTTAGACTTTGGAATTCAGCCAGTGTGATTTTTCAAGAATGGACTTTGTGTGTGTTGACCAGTATAGAATTATGATGGGAAAGTATTGGAGGCTATTTGACGGGATGTTAGTCAGTGATACTGCAAAGAGTGGCTGAGGTAGCAGATGGAAGGTTTGGAGTCTTTTTACCAAGTGGTGCATCTGCCTTGAGTTCTTTGTGGTAGGCGTTTTGAAAGGAAGAACTTTCAGAGGATTGTCACTGCACATTGAGTTATGAGTTAGATTATCTTCACAGCACTCCAGACACATCCATAGATGCTCTAATTCCTCTCTCAACATATTCATCAGCGTCATGCGGTTATTAGTACCAGTCCTATGTTGGCTAACAAGACTTTGTGTCCATCCTGTGTGCTTCTCATGCTTGGCTGTGCCGATCTTTACTCCCAATTCTCATATTCTTAGCAGTGATGTGGACACGTTGCTTCCAGAATCCTCAGAACGTCCTATCTCTCTAAGGACAATGACAATCTCTGCATGATCCATTGGCCACCCATCTTCAATTAATGCAGCACCTGCCAGTCTATCAGCTCTTTTATTACTAATAACGCCTGCCTGCCCTGGGACACATATGAAGGTAACTGCACACACAGTAGAGTTTTGCAATAACTCAAGCCACTGTCTGGTCACCAGCCTGCCTCGACGCGTCAGTCATGCTCAAAGAATCACTCAGCACATGCACACTGGAATAGTCCTGTAATTCTAGCCATATAAAAACTTGTGTCACCGCCATCACCTCCATCGTCATGCTGCTGGTGGTCACGGAGAAGGCACCGCTGGCCTCCAAGAGTGTTCTGCCTGAAGAGCGAGCTGAAATGCCCATGCACTCTTGTGTCCTTGTATAATAGGCCCCTCTGTGAAGATCACCATATCTGTCTCATCTGACTTGTCACTAATAAGCACGCATTACTCAGCATTGACAGCAGCTGAAATCTGCTCCCGACAAATACTGTCGAGATTCACGACACAGGAGAATGTGAGGTTGCGCACTTTAGACGCTGGTATCCATTCCTTACCTGGATGGATATCTGTAAAGCTGCAAACCTGCATGATGTCATCCTTTGCACTACCCAGCTATGATTTGCCCCTTTTAAACCTGTTGCCCTTTTTCTTGAAGAGCATGTGGTGCAAAGGGTACTTCAGATCTGAACTTATCTTGAGGTATGCACCAGCCTTCCAGATCTTGATCCTGTAGTTCATGGTAGGGAAGTCCTTTGCTACACAAGAGGTGTCCCTGGTGCACCCCAGAATAATGTGCATTGCTTTGTTTTGCACCTTCTTAAGTCTTTTGGTCTGAGGATGGCCAAAGCATTTTCGATGGGGGAAAGTACAAGCCCCTGGAACAAGAGACAGAAGCAGTCTCTACTCAGTGCTAGTTGCAGCCAGGACCCTCATTGCTGACAGGCCTTTGCGTGCTTTTGGTATAACATGGTCAAAATTACATAGGTGTATCTGCCAGATCGGGTGTGAGTCGCCAATAGCAGGCTCCTTGGACATAGTTCTCGGGGTTGTTTTGTCCATGTCCAAGGAGACTGCCGATGTGAGTATGTGGAAGGCAGTAGTAGACTCGATAATGAGCGATCGATCACCTATTCATCTTTGTCTCAATGTGTTCATTCATAATAAAGAGACTGATTGCACTACAAGATCATACTTGGTATGGTGTAGTATATTACAGTACTTGTAGACATTGTTGGTGTTACAACAGGACATGTTTCACTTTGTTACTACCAACAGTAGCTTATAGGGGTGCTCTTGTTTGGGTTGGCCCTTCTTTACTACAGTTATAAATCACCATGAGCATGTCCTGTGCCGAGGACGGTGGGCGGCATTGTTGGTGGATAGAGGGAATTAAGTTTGTGGGTGTGAGGACTGACATTTTGTAATAAAAACCCCTAGACTTGGGGCGCATCCCATAGCCGCACATGTCAGTAATAAATGAGGCAGAGTTTAACTAGTGAGATAGAACATTTTGGTATAATAAGTGAGACAGAATGTGTTAGTACAATAAGTGAGACAGAATGTGTTAGTACAATAAGTGAGACAGAATGTGTTAGTACAATAAGTGAGACAGAATTTATTAGTACAATAAGTGAGACAGAATGTGTTAGTACAATAAGTGAGCCAGAATGTGTTAGTACAATAAGTGAGACAGAATGTGTTAGTACAATAAGTGAGACAGAATGTGTTAGTACAATAAGTGAGACAGAATGTGTTAGTACAATAAGTCAGACAAAATGTGTTAGTACAGTAAGTGAGACAGAACGTGTTAGTACAATAAGTGAGACAGAATGTGTTAGTACAATAAGTCAGACAGAATGTGTTAGTACAGTAAGTGAGACAGAATGTGTTAGTACAATAAGTAAGACAGAATGTGTTAGTACAATAAGTGAGACAGAATGTGTTAGTACAATAAGTGAGACAGAATGTGTTAGTACAATAAGTGAGACAGAATGTGTTAGTACAATAAGTGAGACAGAATGTGTTAGTACAATAAGTGAGACAGAATGTGTTAGCACAATAAGTCAGACAGAATGTGTTAGTACAATAAGTGAGACAGAATGAGTTAGTACAATAAGTGAGGCAGAATGTGTTAGTACAATAAGTGAGACAGAATGTGTTAGTACAATAAGTGAGACAGAATGTGTTAGTACAATAAGTGAGACAGAATGTGTTAATATAGTAAGTGAGACAGAATGTGTTAGTACAATAAGTGAGACAGAATGTATTAGTACAATAAGTGAGACAGAATGTATTAGTACAATAAGTGAGACAGAATGTATTAGTATAGTAAGTGAGACAGAATGTGTTAGTACAATAAGTGAGACAGAATGTATTAGTACAATAAGTGAGACAGAATGTATTAGTACAATAAGTGAGACAGAATGTATTAGTATAGTAAGTAAAACAGAATGTGTTTTGAGCATTGAGTCAGACACCCTATGTTAAATTACTATTTCAGCAAAATCTGATAACGTAAAAAAAAAAATGAGCTCCCTTGTGGTATAGAAATAAATGAGACATCATGAGTTCAAGTAACAATGAATGACTAAGTGGAAGTTAAAATAATAACTCTAAGAGTCACGAGAATCATTGTTAACTATTTGTGTCTGTGTGAGAGTGTGTGTATGTGCGTGCATGCAAGCAAGCATGTGTTAGCGTTATTTTTTTTTTTTTAAACCTTGACTTCTTGTGTATTTTTCCAACTTAGACCCATCAGAGCCATTAGATTTAGAAGTCAGCTCTAATGATCCCAAAGAGTTGACTTTGAAATGGAAGCCACCAAAGTTCCCTAATGGCATCGTCACACATTACACAGTCACATATCAGAAACAGAAGTTCAGTACAAAGTCATTTGAGCAGAGGGACTATTGTCATGACCGTAAGTAAACATAAACAGTATATTTTATTCCTAATTTTTTTCTCTCTTTTTATCTTTTGTTGGAGCATAGGCTTTCAACCCACACGTGGCATTTAAAGAAATAACTCAGTACATCATAAATTATGACTTAAAAGCTTAATGAAGGAGGGAAAAGGAACACATTATTATAATACAAATGAATGTTTTGACTAATCTTTATCAACATGCCATATACACCTTCTCCTTGATTTACGACCTGTGTGATTTATGACCATCTGCACTTATAGTAAAAGTCCCTTTTCCTAGCCTTTAGGCGTATAGGGCTAGACGTATATTTTTATAGACCAATCGGCACGAGAGGGGTGATGTGGTCAGCATCATGCCAGCCGCCTTTACTTCCCGGGACTGCACCCGGTACCCACTCAAGGTTGGGTCGACCTGGGAGTCAAAGTAATTTTTTTTTAAATCTGCACTAATGACTACCCAAAAAAAAAGAAAATAAAAATAGTAAGTAAAGAAAGATAACTCCGTTGGTAGGGTCACAAATTACCAGAACTGATTCCTAGAGCACGGCAGCATCTGATTATCTGTACACTAATTGCATATTTCTATTCTGTTTACAATTTTCTTTTTTTTTTTAAACAGTGTTGACAAATATAAATTTGACTTATGACCAGTGTGACCTACAATGTATTAGTATAAATAGAACTCCGTCATAAGTCCTAAAGACCCTGTAATCTTATCTTATGCATCTCCGGCAGTTTGCTCCATATTTTCCCCGTAGTATTTCATCTCTCTCAATTCTCCTGTGTGTTTTTTTATGTCTCCCTCTGTATTTTACCCCTGTGGGTTCCAGTGAAAGGAAATTCTGTTTACACTGTTGTCAGCTCAGTGTGTGTCCTATCCAGGGACAATGTCCTTTCCTCACCTCTTTATTCGCTGAACTTTGTATTGTTCTCCCTGTAAGCACCCCAATAGTGATTCTGGAATAGCATTAACTCTTTGAGTCCCAAGGAATGCATCATACATTCATAGGTTACTGCCTAGAATCCCAATGAACGCATAATGTGCCGATTTTACGTCTCTCTTGACTACCCCTTGGGCCTGTGATGCTAAACCCCCTGGGACTCAAGGAGTTAAATTCCATCTTCTTTGAGGAGATGTGAACACAAACAGTATAATGCACAAATTAATGTCAGGCATATTTCACTGTAACTCATCAAGAGCCTTACTTCAGAGTTAGTTAGTTAGTCGACAGATTATTCTCATTGCACATCGAACCATTCAGTCCATAAGTGCTCGGATCCCCACCTTGGTAAATCCCATATTTTGTAACGGTTCAAGACACCAGTTCTGTATTGGTTTATTATTCTTCTCTGGCCTCTTGCATAGTGCTCTTGTCTGACCATACCCCTTTTTACATGTTGTTCTTGCAGTCTGGTCATTGTTGCAGATTCACATTCATTACTTGGTTCTCGCAAAAGTCTTACTTCTCGAAGTGCATTAAGAACATCAGCATGGTCTATGGCTTGCCCACCCTCTACAGCTGTTTTACCTGCAAGCTGATAGCCTACTCATTTCCTTGTATGCCTGCATGCCCTTACTTCAGAGTTACAACAACATATAATGAAACATGAAAACTGAACTGACTGACTTTCTATCCCACCAGGACATCACACAAGCGATAAACACCCAATGACACAATGTGCCACCATGTTGGTGAGGATCACCATAGAGAGGTCCCAGAAACCGCGTTCAGCCCCCAGGCCATATTTATGGTCAGGCTATATTGCGGCCCCTGGCAAGAGCCAGAGTAGGGCTTCACATAACAAAAAAATTTCATCCTGAAAAGGACGGAAGGTTATTGTATTACTTAAAAGTGTAAAACTGAACTAATTCCACTGAAAATATAAATGGTCTCTCTCTATACACTCTTTATCCAATCACCGGAAGTTCGTGACAGCTTTGTGACTTACCTGGGTAACTTCAAATTGATAATTAATTCTTTCTGTTTACATTGGGGGAGGGGGGCGGTGTTTATTTGTAAAATTAAAACTAGGGCAAGTCTCAGCATTTGCCTGTTGTGCAATGTATTGTTTGTGTCTCTGTTATTTAAGTTATCAAATTATCATTGTTACCAAAAGTGAATATGATCTGCTATCTTTGTTCTTTCTAACCAACAGCAAATTCTTCCTTCAAGAAAATCTTCCTAGAAAAAAAGGAGGAGGCGGAGGTGAAGCACAATACCACTGCAAACTGTTGTGTCTGCCCCAAGTCCAAGCAAGAGCTGGAAGCTGAATCTCGTAAACAAGAAATAGAAAGTTACTTTGAGAATTACCTGTATGGTCAGGCTTATTGCGAAAGGTGTATAATTCTTATTTGTTATAATGGTTGTCTGGGTGCCTGTATGCCTTCTTGTTCTGTCTCCCTCTTTTCTGCCTTCTCTGTTTTCTTTCATTTTCTCCAATTTCTCTTTCTTCTTCTCCCCCCCCCCCCCCCAATCTCTCTCATCCCTCTGTTTTCTTTCTTTTCCCCCCTTTCTCTCTCTGTTCTTTTTCTCTGATCTCTCTCTCTCTCTCCCTCTCTTTCTTTCTCTCTCTCTCTCTCTCTATCTCTCTCTCTCTCTCTCTCTCTCTCTCTCTCTCTCTCTCTCTCTCTCTCTCTCTCTCTCTCTCTCTCTCTCTCTCTCTCTCTCTCTCACTGTCTCTGTTCCTTCTTATTATGTTTCCTCTGTTTCTCTTTCTTCCCTTTCTCTCTCACTGGTCCTTTTCCTTTCTGCTCTCTATATTCCTCTTTCTTGCCTTTCTCTCTCACTATTCCTTACCTCTTTCTATCTGTTTACTCTCTCTGTCTCTCCCCAGATATGTAAAATAGTCAACTGTTTCCAGCTGTTCATCATCAGTGGAGACTGCAGGTCTATCATTACACTTCGCACCATAAATGTTGTCTTCTTTTTGCTTTTGCCGAAGTGTTAGTCCAAATTCACAGCATGCATGTGCAAATGCAGATAGTAAACATTTCAGCTCCTCCACTGTGTGGGTGAAAATTGCTGCATCATTTGCAAACAGCAGCTCTCTGATTTAAGTACCTTATGTCTGTATCCTAGTTTTGGCTTTCAGCCAGTGAGCAGTATTCTAAAATTGTTTACATAGAATGGTCTGATTACCCACTGGACATTACAAACACAACAAATTAGGAATGAGCCAGACAGCTCTCTGCCAGACTCCCAGAACATGTAATACAAGACCACCTTCTCCTGAAGAAGCCACAAAACAACACTCAGTAGATCTGCTAAGCTTTAGGGAAACCTAAGAAACCCAGTTTATGACACATAGTGAATCAAGCACATGATCAGTGACTGCTGAAGAAAAAGAAGATAGTGGTCTATTGTTTGACACATGAGGCACTCACAGGCTTTTACAGCTAAAGCCAGAAGGAAAACTGCGAAGTCCTAGTCAAGAATCTGTTTCCCTGTCTTAGACCTATGATGTTAATTATATTAGATCAGTGAAGTTACCAGTATCACACCAGCCTACTTTACTTCTTGGTACTGTTTTCACTGATGCCATGTTGAATTTAAAAAGCCACCATAATGTAGATTCCAACTTATGACTGACAGGCAAGCAGCATATGATGTAGGTACCATATAATTTTTTTTTTCTAAAATGGAAAGGTGATGAAAAAGATAGCAATTCACCCTACATTACAATGTTATCACCTGATATGTGAGAAAGCTGAAGACATGGCAGCCTATAATAAGATTAATTAAACAGGGGCTGGTGTTCCTTCTGATCATTTGTAAAATATATTAAATAAATTCTGTTCTCACTACTATGTATATTGATGATATGACACTGCCTGCGTACGTTTAGACTGATGAACACATGGTGTGTGATGTTGTAAATACCACACCAGCTGCCTTAATTTCCCTATAAATTTCCTGGTAACTATTTTGTGCTAGATTGACCTTGAAGTCTTGATGAGTTAGTAAAATAACCAGTTTTAAAAAACATACCCACTGAGCCGGGAGGTAAGCATGCCAGCCATTGCAAACCCATGGCTTCATGTTTGTACTGGAACAGCTCAGTTAATGCTGAATATTCAACACTTAACAATTCTACAGTCTTGATACAACGTAGTGTATGCAATCTTTCTTTGTCAATTGAGACGAGAAAGAGTATCTCAAAGCCATTTAAATCCTATCTTGATATGAGGAAGTGAATCATGGACAGTTGGTAGATTAGTGAAAAATTATTTCGAAACTGCGAAGATGTGGTTTTATAGACAGTTTATGAGAATACTCTGGACAGTTAAAAAGAGTAATGAAGATGTCTTGAAAGAAGCTGACTCATGAAAAGAACTGATTGCCGACATCAGAAAGAGACAATCTACATTCTTTAGTCATGTGATTAGAAGGAGAAAACGAGTACAGTTGTGACAGTAGGAAAGTTGGAAGGGAAAACCAAGAGAAAAGATCCTGGACAGTTTGACATCCTGGCATAAAAGATCATCTGTGTCAGAGTTAAATGGAAGCACATGAGACAGAAGGTTGTGTATAGACATGATTACCAATGCCACATGGCATGGACTTTAACAAGAAGTGTACTTTTTCTTCTTCTCTTCCACCATTTACCTCAGCGAGGTTTGGGGGGGGGGGGGGGGGGGGATGTAAGGATCGTTTGTGCGCTTTTTCCAGTGCATTGTACAAGCTGGGACAAGAAGTATACTACAGAAAACAGGCTGAGAATAGATATACCTAGAGGACTACAGCGGAGGATAAAACTACAAGTACAGCGGAGAATAAAACTACATGACATGAACAAGGGTTTGCATGTGAACTGATATCATACCATGAGACAGAATAATCCTTGGTCAATTGATCGACTACTGTGTTCCATCCGGGCTGCTAACTAAATGTTTAACTTACCACGGATGGTGCACCAGAAAGACAGATCCCAGATACCCTGATCTATAGAGAATATATAACTGGGACACCCGGAAGGGCTACATCAGCTAAATGTAACCTACCGTGCTTTGCAGGTAAGGACCAGAATAATGGTATCCTGAATCACTTTAAATATTCCAAAAAATAGATTACATAGTATGATTATCTTGATCTTGTTATGTGTACTTGCAATATACTCAACTTAACAGTCTGTGCATCAGTAATCTATTACAATTAATGCATAATCTATTCAGTATTAAATAACCAGAAATAATTTACAAATAAATATACATAGCTGGAATATGAACCTCCCAATTATAACCTGGATGAGTCAAAAGGATGTAGTTGTTTAAAATGCCACTACATCTAGAGTGTTACATGTTTTTTTTATCTTTCTTAACTGTTACAGGAAACTAACATTGTTTTTGTATGACTTTTAGGTGGATCCAACCCTAGAATTTTTGGAAGAGGAAGCATGGAGGGAACTTAGCACCTTATTGTGTGAAGATAAAATAACACACCAACAGAGGAACCTGTCATTTGAATCTTTATATTTTTACAGAATATATTCACTTTAGTGATCCCATTGCTGTGGACCTTTTTTTTTTTTTTTATCTTCTTTCTGAGACAGTAACCAACATTGTTTGACACTCAGTGACTTAAGAAGCCACTTTTTGGATGTCAGCAATTGAACACATTCTAGATGCCCTGTTAAACCATTTAAAACAGTTACATTGGGACACCCATTAGCTTCATGAGGTCTGCTGGCCAGTGTGGGTATTTCTGTAAATTATGGACCTCTAAATTGTTCTTGTGTGTTGTAGTTTTACATGTTTTAAATGCATTACTGTTCATACAGAATGTAAACAACATAGTCCAAACCATTTATTTGCATAGGTACGACACTCTGATGTACAAGACATCATCTAGTGGCAGTAAAATGGACACAATACAATCAGATATAAGCTCACAGGGTGTCAAAGATGGTGGTCCTAGCAACAGTCCAGTGCCATTGCCAACAAATGAATCAGAAGAAGTAAATCTGTTGCACAATGACAGCTTGCCATTGAAGCAAGTTCTTGTCTATAATGCTACCAGCGTTGTCCTTCAAGATCTACAGCACTTTCAGGAATATAGCATTGAGGTTGGTTGGCGTTTTTAAATATACTGACACTTTATCATAGTGTGGTAAATAATCATAATAGCTGTTACAGAAATACTGTTTAGACAAAATGATACTGCAGTAAATATATCTCCAATGTGTTATTTGAAATGAGCAAAACAAATGTCAAATTTCACATTATATTTACCTGAATAGAAATTTAGGATACATGAAGGTAATATTTGATGCAGACATTATTCTCTGCTGGGTTGATCTTGAAGTAAATATCATTTTTTAAAATCCGTCTAATTTGAAAGTCAGACCAAAATGTGGACAGGTGGGAAAATATTATATAGTGTACATAAAATTCATCAGCATTGTAAAGTAGTAATATTAATTATCTAGTTTGTAGTTTTATAGTCTGTTTGTGGAAGATTGTGTATAAGCGTCTTTATTAGCTGTATCCAGGAGGGCTTATCTTTTATTCAATTTGTGTGTTTGAGGCATTGCTCGTTACTTTGTTAATGTGAGGTTTTTCTTAACCCTTCAAACTGTCCATAGTTTTCTCTTTCGCAAGATTTTGGGAGACTGGCTTTCTGAACCCCATATTATGTCTATGTGTTGAGCCATAATAATAACTGAATGTAGTCAGTCAGTCAGATTAGTTGACAAGAGTAGTGATAATTTTCTTTTAGCCAAAGGAACTAGTTCAAATTACATTTTTATAACCATTCTTCAACTCTAAATAACATGTTTTGGTACATGTCGTGAGAAGAGACCCAACAATGAGAGTAACCTCGCTTCCCCTTGATACCTCGATCTGGTGTAGCGCATGTACTATGTTGGAGAGGTTTCAGGTGTAGTGGGTCATATTTTACTCCTTGTTGTCAACAGCTATTGATATCGCATCTTCTATGCTGTGACAGCTTTTAGCTGTCCCAAAACATGTACAGCAGGCCTAACCCCAACCCCCTTAATATATAGCCTCAGCCTATGTCTCACGACTGTATGCAGCCTCGATTATATGCTGCATACAATTGTGCAACTTAAACCAGATAGAGGCATCCATGGAAAGGGAGGTCACTCTCATTGTTGGGTCTTTTAACATGACTAGAACCCATGTTTTTCTGATAAACAAGATAGTTCATGGTGAAGAATGGATTACAGTGCTACCCAGCAAAAAAGACTTGCACAGAGTGATAGTTACCTTGCAACAAGGGTGTCGACAATGGATAGCTGGTGAAACAAGGTCTGTGGTACATGAGCTGATCAATGAAAATTCATGTGCAAGTCATAATATATACAGATGGGTCTGTAGTGAGAGGTAAGAAGAGTGGGTGGGGTTTTATTGCAAAGGTGAATGGACATTGCTTGAAAACTAAGAGCCTCACATACAAAGTAACTTCATCCAGTATGAGAATGGAATCAGTTCTTGATTCATTCTGAAATGATTCTCAGAGATTTAACTCTTTGAGTCCCAGGTGGTTTATCATCAGACACCCAAGGGATAGTCAAGAGAGACGTTAAATGGGCGCATCATGCATTCATTGGGCCTCTAGGTAGGAAACTATGAACGTGTGATGCGTTCCTTGGGACTCAAAGAGTTAAAATACTACATTTGCCAGGTTCAAGCTTGTCACGATGCAGATGCTACCAAACCTGAAGGTACAAAACTATGTAGCGATCGCGCCTTGACATCAGGTCGCACAAAGCCCTCGTGTAAGTTTTCCTGTGCAAACTGTTTTTGGTGTGTTTTTTTCAATTTTCTTTGAAACAATTTTTATAATACTTTCATGCTAACTTATTAATTTTGCAACATATTGTAATGACTGGCTATTCAGCCCTGCTGTAATAACTGGTAATCTATTCTGATTACTTTCATTGCTATTTTAATTTTGCTACACCCAGATTTATTACCTGTGCAGAGATTAATCATTTTTAACCATAAAAATATGTGGTATGAATTTGAAGATGTCTTGATTATTTATTTTCTTTCTTAACAAGTGGTTTTAAATTCTGCAAATGAAAGTTGTTTGCTACTTTATTGTTTCTAAATTTTTTTGAAAATGAGTTACTTTTTTTAATTAACGCAAATTAATTTAGTGATAGAAAACTGTGTAAGTAACTGGTGAGAGATCCATTTATTTTATACACAGATTTTCACTTTATAGGTTAAGTGTTGAGCTAAGTACTGAAACCACAACACTCAGGATATTCTAATAAGTGCTCCGTCCTCATCTCTAACAGCCACTGAAGAGTTCTACTTTCAGCTGTGCCAATATCAGTTTGATTAAATGTCCATTTTCCTTTTCCTGAGTGTAGAGTGTTGACCAGATCCCCTGGTCATTCCTGCTGTAGCATTGTCTCCAGACCATAATGATCAATTTGTGTCTCTGCATTGTTCACTTGCTCCCAAAGGACTTTTATTACCACATCTAGCTTGTGATTGTATAAAATCTTTTCTAATGGTGCAAAACCAGCCAGTCTGTCTGCCTCTTCATTTCCCAACACTGTTGTATGCCCTGGAGAAAATATCCAAAGAACGCTAACTACCAATAACCTCAGAGGTAATGCTTGCCACTCTTCATAGAGCATGCCTGTCTCTGCCTTTCTTTACATGCTTTGTGAGTCTGTTACAGTCATGAGATGTGTATGCTGCTGGTTCTCAACTCGGTGGATTGCTGTTGTGACTACCTCCACCTCCATTCTCAGACTATCAATCAGCAAGTCTTTTACAGAATGTCGCTCTTTTCACAGCGTGCCTGAAAGTACCACATTTTCTAGCCAGCTCTCCTGCCCCATGTGCTTTCAATGCCAAAGCATCTTCAATGTCTTGTATCCATCTTCGTGGTGGTTGACCCCTGCCTCACATTCCACAAACTACAATTTCCATCACTGTCTTTTCCAAACCACCATGACGCTTGATGTGGCCAAAATACTTCAACTTTCAGGACAGGATGCTGTTTATGAGCCAGTTCTCCTTGATGTTCAACTCGTTTAGAATATCGATGTTTTTCCTCTTCCTGATCCATGGTATTCTAAGAATTTTTCTGTAACATTTCAATTCAAAACCTCCATTCTTTTTCCTCAGTGACTGAGTGAGAGTCCAAGACTCACAACCGTAAGTTGTCACAGGAAAAATGCATGATCTCAAGATTTTTACTTTAACCAATTTAATAGTGCCTTGCCATCGGTTCTTCAGGCTATTTAATCTCTGCTTTGCCAATGCAAGTCTTCTTCTGACTTCTTTTGAGTAGTCGCCACTGTTGTTCACTAAAGAGCCCAAGTATTTGAAATCTGTTACATTTTCTATTTCTTCATTTTCGATTGTGATACATGGTTGGTATGCTGTATTTACTGAGGACATAATTTTTTAAATTTTTTTTAAATTCAGAAACAGATTCACTACTTCGCTGTGTTCTTTGATGGCCAGAATTAATTTTTCTGAACCTTGTACATACTAGATGTTGTAATATCATATGCTTGACTTTGCTGCACTAAGGGTCATCCATTGGCTTTTGCAATAAACCCCTACGCATTTCATCTACCTCTCAGCACGGAGCCATCTGTATAGATAATTGCTAACATCACCTGGGCGGAAAATTATCATGAATCAGTTGTTGAATTTCTGATTCTGCAGCACCTGCTGGTCCATCTCTGCACTCCTGGCCAAGTGTGCACTTTATTGGTGTTGTTGTCAACATGTCACTAGCAGCCTTTACTTCCCCATACCCACTTTAGTCTGGAAGCCTTAGGTCAGTTATACAGTTATGACGGCATAATGTCAATTCAAACTCAAGACCTTCACGCTAATAGTCAAATGTCTATCCAGTGCTCTACCTAAGCTCCCTGAATTTAATGGTATATCAGTTAAAATAATTTTGCAATTTTAATAGCAAATGATCATTGGTAAGTCACAAAGACCCTTGCTAAGTCTGAGTAGTAAACAATCTTCTTCTTTTTCTTCTTCTCACATTCAGTGGCTGTAAACTCCAGTGGAAAGTTTTTTTAGTTGTTCATCCACTTCAGGACTTAAGTCTTGTTGTAGTACTTGAGTTTTGCTTGCACATTCATTTTACAGATCTGGCTTTTTTGTATGCAGACTGTTTGCTCCTCGCCACTCAGGAAGATGCACTCTGACTTTAAAAGAAAAAACAGAAAGCCTAAGTAGTCACCTGTAATGACATGCTTTGAAGGGGGCAGTGGTCCTATTCTTATTCCCCACACGATGAGGCCTCAGAACTCACACAGGGAACAATAACAATGAAGATCATAGCTTAGAAATTCTGACCAAAGGGAGACTGACTGACTGACTGACTTTCTAGCCCACCAGGACATCACACAAGTGATAAATACCCGATGACGCGATGTGCCACCATGTGGGTGAGGATCACCATGGAGCGGTCCCAGAAACCGCATCCAGCCATTAGGCAATGTTTATGGCCAGGCTATATTGCGGCCCCTGACAAGAGCCAGAGTAGGGCTTCAATTAACGAAAAATTTCATCCTGAAAAGGACGGGAAGTTACTGACCAAAGAGAGAAAATAATAATAAAATTACAAGCTCAGTACTTTTTATGAAACCACATATGCACACCTTTTGAAAACCAGATATCTTGTATGATTTATTTAGTGTTCTTTGACCAAATGATAGAAATACAGTCACACTTGATGCTTTCACTTATCTTCTTCTTCTTCTTTGTGTTCACCAGCTGTAAACTCCTGCTGAAAGTTCTGGTTGTTTGTCCACCTCTAGACTTTAGACTTGTTCCAGAACCTGAGTGTTGCTTGCACATCTGTTTTACAGATCTGTCTTATTGGTATGTAGACTGTTGGTTCCTTGCCTCTCAGGCAGATGCACTCTGACTTCAAAGAAAATCTCCAATTAGTGCTGAAAGTTCTGGTTGTTTGTTTACCTCTAGACTTTAGACTTGTTCCAGAACCTGAGTGTTGCGTGCACATCCGTTTTACAGATCTGACTTATGTGTATGTAGACTGTTGATTCCTTGCCTCTCAGACAGGTGCATACCCACTTCAAAGAAAACCTCCAATTAGTTGACTCTAACGACAAGCTTGTTGGGAAGGCAGTGGGTCTGTTCTTGTTTTCCCCCACATTGGGGCCACGGAACCCACACAGGGAAGCTTAAACTTCTATATTTGTATATGAAAAAAAGGAGTTACATCTAGTGCGTTGTTTAGGGTACAAAAAGGGTTAATGATATTTCACTTAAGTAACTTTATTTCTCTTCTAATAAGTCCCCCCCCCCCCACCCCACCCCCCACCCCCACCCACTAATTTTTATCACTTTATTGCAGTCATCATGGACAGTATTCCAGAGTCCAGTGTTATTGCTAAAACTGTGGTGAATGCAACTGTTGATGTCGTGATCTCATGGAAGCCACCACCAGAACCAAATGGACTAATACTTAGATATAACATCTTCTACAAGAGAGCCAATCAGGAAAATGTGAGTGTTGTAATAGTGGACACATCATAGAACACTTGACACCATTACCATTTTGAGGTTACAGGATATGTCTGTGGCTTTTAATGTTCCTGTCATCTATCGTTTCCTCTGTTTTTTACTAATTTGTCATGCGATATATTAGTGAACTATTGGTGCTTAATGATTTATCTGTCATACGAGGGGCCTTCAGATGCAAATGTTATAACTGTGACAGAGAAAAAAATAACCATGCCATTTTCTGTAACCTGTCAGTATTGTTTTGTTAAGGATGTCAAAAATGTTAAGCACATGACATCGTGATTTTTTTTTTTATTGGTAAAAAGGGGGAACCTATAGAAATTCAAAGATGTATGAAGGTCCAGTATGATGATGCATGCCTGTCAGTCCAGCAAGTGAATGAGTTTCTGGAAACACTGGAGTCACTACTCGCTGTGTTGGATCTGATTATGAACAGTTTGTCACAGAAGTCACAACACTGATTGCTGATTGATCCAAAAAAATATGAGTTTAGCATCATAACAATTGACTGTTGCTGAATTTTTGAATTAAAAAAAAATTCTAACAAAAATTAATAAAGGACCCTTTTCCAGGCGTTCAGCCTTGTTGGGCATATAAGGTTAGACCTAATTTTTATAGATCAGTCAGCATTCAGTAGATGATGTGGCCATCATTGCGCCAGCCACCATTGCTTCTCAGGACTTTACCTGGTAGCCATTTGAAGCTCAGTCGATCTGAAAGCCATGGTAATGTTTTTTTTTTTTTTCAAGTCCGGCTTTGCCAGAGCTTGAACCCATGACCTTCTAGCCGTTACACATGGGGCTGCCAATGTCTGACTGACCAAACAATAAATTTAGATCTTCTTTATATTCACCGGCTGTAAACTTCGGCAGAAAGTCCTAGTCATTTGTCCACCTCTGGACTTCAGTCATATTCCATAAACTGAGTGTTGTGTGCACATCCGTTTAACAGATCTGACTTAATTGTATGCAGATTGTTGTTTCCTTGCCTCTCAGGCAGATGCACTCACACTTCTAATGAAACTCCCAATTAGTTTACACTTACGATATGCTTGTTGGGGAGGCAGTGGGTCTGTTCTTGTTTTCTCAGCAATGAGGCCCCGGAACGCACACAGGGAATTTAGATCATTATTTTAGGTCCAGAAATTACTTGACATTAGATAAATGGGTAAATAGCTCTACAGCCAGAGTTAATAATAACCTTACTTTCATCTCCAAGGTGAAATAAATACCACAGTGCAACATGGTCCTGTTCAGGTTCCCTGGCCCATCTTCTCACTAACTGACCTTTCTTTCACACTTTTTGAGACTCTTCAGAGGGGTGTCACATTGTCTTCCCTACAATTACATCAGCATCGATGTCGCGTATTCTATACTACACGACGACACAGCTTTTAACGACACCAGAACATGTAAACTGGCCCTAACTCAAACCCCCCTACCCACAGCCTCAACCTAGGTCACACGAGAGACTTGTTTCAAAGAAAGCAGTACAATGTGACACCCCTTTGACCTAGATCAGACTGAGAAAATGTGTAGATGGGCCGGGAAATGTGAACAGGTCCTGCAACACTCATGTATATGGAGAGATTACTGACTTATTGAAGACCAACAGCATGTAGAGATTTTGTTGGTCCTTACTTGCATCATAATCTTTTGCTTAACTTTATGTGTGCCTATTTATTTGTTACATAGTTAACTGCTTAGTAAGTTGGCTAGTTAATTGACCGATCATCCTCAGTGCACATTCGACAAATCCATAAGCGCTCTGATCCCATCTTCAGTATCTCCATCAAAGTCTGGTGACTGTGTTGGTTTTTCTTCTATAGCTACCTCTATAGTGTTCATCTCTGGCAGCACCTCTTGGGACATGAAGTATTTGTTGTTAGTTCACCGCCATCTCCTGAATCGTCTGCTTGTCTCGCCTCCGTGAGAACATTGAGAACATCGGCCTGGGTCATTGCTTTTCCTGTGCCTGTCATAGCCCTGCTAGCCAGCATCTGATTATTCATTCCTTCTTACCCCAGAAACTGATTCCTAACAGAGGAGATAACCCTAGAGACTCCAACCACTGTCTTCACACCCATACTGTCTCGATATTCTCAAGCATATTCATGGAATCAGAAAACGTGCACAGAAAAATGTCTGTGCTTCTAGCCAGGTCATTGCTTTTGTTACCGTTTTGTCACCACGATCACCACCATAAGGATAAGAATGTTGAATGTACAAATAAGAATCAACATCACAGCACTTGGGACACTCCCATAAGTGCTCCGTTCCCATCTTCAGCAGCAAGCGAAGAGTTCCAATTCCGATGGTACCAGTAACCGTCTGATTGTATATCCGTTTCATCCTTCCCCTGAGTGTTGAGCGTCGGCCAGATCCCCTTTTAAATCCTCGCAGCGCCCTTCTCCTCAGACCGTAATGATCTATCTGCGCCTCCGCACTGTTCACTCGCTCCCAGAGGGCCATCACAATATCTAACTTGTCATACATCAATTCACCACCAAGGGGTGCAGAGCCAGTCTATCTGCCTGCTTATTTTTCAACATACCAGCATGACCTGGAGAAAATATCCAAAAGATGCTAACTACCCGGGACCTCTGAAGTGATGCTTGCCATTCTGCATGAAGCATGCCTGTTTTCACCTTTCTCAACATGCTCTGTGAGTCAGTGACAATCACGGCGTGTGTGAACAGCTGATTCTCAAGCCGGCGAAAGGCAGCAGAGACTGCCTCCACCTCCATTCTCAAACTAGACTAGATATTATATGCAAGGCTTTGCTGCACTAGTGGTTAATGATCCATTTCCTGCATGATTAACATTAAGAACTGATGTGTTTGTTTCTCTACATCCTGGTTTTATTTAAAATTTTGCTTATAGAACATGTTTTGCTGACTCCATCTCCAGCTGGTCCCTCAAATAATCTGTGTCAACAGCAGAGACTTCAAGAAGAATTCTGGCTACCATCTGACTGGTCTGGATCATGGAAACTGGACATTTCAGATTAATGCTGTCTCACTGGCAGGAAATGGATCATTAACCCCTGAGAAATATTTCATTGTACCATATTTTCCAGGTCAGTTACCCAAATATTTAATCATTACTTGGTGTGCATTGTTAGCATATGCACTCACGTTGTTTTTCCATTAACCTCTATGCAGTTAATTAAAACAACTTCTATTTTGTTCAGCCATTCAAGATAAGTAAGTTTTACCCCACCAGGACATCACACAGAGCGAGAAACACTCGGTGACACAAAGTGCCACCATGCAGATGAGGATCACCCATGGAGAGGTCCCAGAAACCCTGTTTAACCGTTAGGTTAGGTTATATTAGGGCCCCCGACAGAAGCCAGGGTGGGTCAGAGGACAGCAGAAACTTCTGATTTCTGCACAGTAAGTGTAAGGCACAAATATTCAAGCACATATGTTGTACAGATATCAGATGTTTTGGCTGCAGAGCACACATGTTGTCCTGAAGTCAGATGTTTGGCTGTGATGCATAAATAATATGCTGACATCAGAAGTTCTGGTAAAAATTTTTTTAAAGTTTTGCCAAAATCAGAAGTTTTGGGTAAAAAATCACAAATATGATGCTGGAATCAGACGTTTTGGATGAAATTCAAAAATAGTTGAATGTTGAATTAAGAATCGACATCACAGCACTCTGGACACTCTCATAAGTGCTCAGTTCCCCCATCTTCAGCAGCAAGCTGAGAGTTACAATTCCAATGGTACCAGTAACCGTCTGATTGTATATCCGTCTCATCCTTCCTCTGAGTGTTGAGCATTGGCCAGATCCCCTGGTAACTCCTTGCAGTGCCATTCTCCTTAGACCGTAATGATCTATCTGTGTTTCCTCTCTGCTCACTTGCTCCGAAAGGGCCGTCACAATATCTAACTTGTCATACATCAATTAACCACCAAGTGGTGCAGAGCCAGCCAGTCTATCTGTCTGCTCATTTCCCAAAACACCAACATTCACAAATAGTGTAAAGAAGTAAAAACTTTTGGTTTCATAGTCAGAAGTTTTAGCTAAAAGGTGTTATTTTTTTGGAAAATTGCTGATTAGCTATTTTCTTAATTGTGTTCTTTTCAGCTGGAGAAAGGACATACAGTATGATTATTATTACTGCAGTAATAGTTACTGTGACTGTCATCATTGCTATAACAAGTATTTTGATCTTTGCTAGGTTCAGGTAAGCTTTTGTGTTGCAGAAAGATAGTGAACGTATTGTATTTGTGATCATAGGTGCTAGATGTGGCGCCCCCCTCCCCCCCCCCCCCCTACCTCCCTTCTCACCACCAACCATATGGCTAACCATGTTCTCTTTTTAATTTCTTTCTTTGTACATTTCATATTATTTTCAAATATATTATTAAATTTGTTTACCATTTATCAGATAATAATAATTATTATGTGATAAGTGGAAAATAAATACAAAAATATATTTGCTTTTTTTGTGATTTGACCCCTGTATATGACTCAAAAAGTTAATTACTTTTAACATTTGAGGGGGCTGTGTGGTCTCGAGGCATGGTGTCCGCCTCGAGTGCTAGAGGTTCCGAGTTCAATCCCCGGTAAGAGCTGGGATTTTTTTCACATGGACTTGATATCAAATGCTCGTCTGCATAGTTGCGCACGTAAAAAAATCCCTTGGCAGTTGGAAATCGAAAAGCGTAGCCTAACAGCGCTGCCCGAGCAAAATTTGGAGTTAAAAATCTATCCAAAGTATTTCAGGATCCTAGCCGGTGCTACAGAGCCTGTGCACTGTGCTGAGTTTCTTTGAACTCAGACTTGAGTTAGAAGAACGGAGCACTTATGGGTTACTACCTGTGTGCCAAGATGTTTATCCATTCAAACTTCAAACTTTTAAGATTTGAGACTCCAGTTTCCTGCACAGATGGGCATCTCATTTCTTCAGCATGTTAGACTTCTCTCTCTTTGACAGTGGAATCTTTCATGTGGATGCCCCAGGCACTTTTTGCAACATTTATGAGAGGCATGCATCAGGCATGACTTCTCTGTACAGTTATTGTGTGTGTGTTGTCAATCAAGATGATGATGACCACTCTTTTTCATCAAGTATGAGTATAAAGATGGCTGATGAGGCCGATGCGGGCCCGAAAAGTTCTTGGACAGTGAGGACAGGGAATGAGCGTTATGCCAGGGAGAAGATCTCCTGCACAGTTATTACACTATGATGATTGTGACCATTAGCAGTGAATGTTTATACCTTTTGTGCTCCCCCCCCCCCCCCTAAAAGTAGGATCTTTGAGCTAGGCACATTCGAACCTTTTCTGTCATACAGTAGGACACTCAGTGGTCAGACTACTGAACCTAAGCAGCCATACATTAGGAGACCCAGTCCACAGACAATTGAACCTAGATTCTTCATACAGTAGAGTTCACAGCCAGTGGTCTTCACTCATTTTCCTAATGAGTTTTCCATGTAGGTTTTCAATCGTGCACTAGGGATGGGCTGACAAGATCAAGTGTTTCTTGGAATGCATGTTTTGGAGCAAGCAGTTTTGAGATCTCCTGCCAGCTCTGTTTAGGCCAAAATAGACCATTCTCTGTAGCACATAACATGGACCTCATCATGTCTCTTCACTGCCTGCATTCTCCAGCAGCATGTATCAGTTCATGTACTGACATTCCTCTATGCCATGATAATAGGATCTTCTTGCATTCTCTTTCTCTGTCTCTTTTCTTTTCCAAAAAATGTTTACAGTTTCACATGTTCTAGTTTCTTTCTACTCAAAAAAATGATGGCTACATCTTTCTTTCTGATATTTAAGATTGGTTGTCTTTGGGTTAATATTTTGAGTGTCCAAGGAATTTTGAGTTTTCTTCTATAAAAACACATCTCTGAGGTCTCAAGACATTTCTTTGACTACTTGTTTCTCAATTGTCTAGAATTTTCAGCCACATGCTAAATCAGGTTCTGTTTCTTTTTTTTTTTTTTTTCTAACTACCAGTTACACGAATTTATCACATAAAACGTTCTTTATTTTATAAAATTCAATTTATACCTGTCCCAATTTTTTTACTTTTCTTTGTGGTACATCTTTTGTTTGGTGTTATCCTTGTTAGCTATTTAAACTTCTGTACGTGTCCCAAAATAATTGTGACTTTATTTATTTATATAGGCTCAATTATTTTCACTTTTACCATTATTTCAGTCCTAGTATTCAAGCTGAGACCCATTCTTTCGCTTTCTACAACCACTGTATCTATTAGTTCCTGTAATTCCATGATTTGTTGCTGTCAAGATGGTGTCATTCCCATAATGCCGTATTATGACCACCAGCCACAATCCCTGGTATATCTTCTATAGATAGAATTACTTAAAGGTCCATTGTGTAATTAAGATAAATCAGATGATAGGGCACATCCTTGTTGGACACCACTTGTTGTGCTACTTAATGTTTACAAATTATTGTCAGTCCTTAAAACTGCTGTTTGCTGCCATTTCATGCAGAGGATTATAGTTACTATCTCCTACTAGCTTGATATGTGTGTGCGTCTGTGTGAGTGCGTGCGCGTGCATGCATGCCTGTGTATGTATTTTCTAATGTGTGATGTGAGCATTTTTTTTCTCACATAGTATAAATTCATACATAAATATTCAGTTTTGTATTTTAATAAATGACTATAATTTTGTCTTTCAGGTACCGTAAAGGTGTTTTAACTGTTATCTCACCCAATACTAATTACCTATCATCATATATGAGTAAGTTTTTCATTGTTTTCAGTATTTTACTTTCATTAGAGTAATGTTTCCTTTACAGTGTCTTATTTATACTAACTACTGCTGTAATATATTTTAAAGTTAAAGACATACAAAATAAATATTGAAAAAATTCTATGTGCAATTTAATGACCATTCTGTAACAGTTTGTACAGGCTTTGAATTTTTATCTGATCATTTTTTTTCCTTTTTTTTAATTTTTGACTATACATGTGGATTGGTAAATCAAGTCTTTTCAGTCTTTCTGTTTCATTTACATTTTATTATTTACTTTTACATTTGTCATTTTTGTAAAGATCTTTAATTATTTAATGAGCTTCTTTATCATTTGTCAGCTTCTGTGTTCGATCTTCATAAAATTTTTAAATGGATGTCTTTAATATTTCTCTGTTTTTCTCAACTATTGTAAATGATCTGTGTAAAACTATTAAATTAACTTCAACATTTATCACGTCTTCTTCATTATAATATGTATTTCTGCAGTATTTGACAGCTTTTGTAACAGAACTTTATAAAATTAAGAGTATGTCTTAAATATTTCTCAGTTTTCAGAAACAATCTTGTAAAACTATTAAATTAACTTAAACATTTATCATGTCTTTCTCATTGTAAAATTTACTTTTGCAACATTTGACAACTTGTGTAAAAGATCTTTATAAAAGTATTAAGTGGATCTCTTTATTTATATCTCAGTTTTCATAAATGATCTATGTAAAACTATCAAATTAACTTCAAATTTTATCATGTTTTTCTCATTAAAAAATGTTTTTCTGCAACATTTGACAGCTTTTGTAAAAGATCTTTTAATACTCGTAATTTGATTTATTTCAGTGTATACGATGGATGAATGGGAAGTTGATCGCGACAAGATCAAACTGATTAGGGAACTTGGCCAAGGTGCTTTTGGAATGGTTTATGAAGGAGTGGCCAAGGGATTAGGTGATAACCCAGATGAAGAAACAAAAGTTGCTGTTAAGGTATATTTCACTTCATTATTTTACTTCTTTCTTCTTTCTTTTGCCTTGAGCCTGTTCTGCCTTTCAGTTTACGCTTTGAAGAGGCATATCTGGTTGAAGCCTTGATATGTACTGTTTATGTTTTGGTATTCAGGGCCTCTGATATTCTACCTACTGATCATTTGCGTAGTTAAGCTCCCTAGCTCTGCTTCCATTGTGTCTGTTGTGTCATCACTCTCTGTGAAGAACTTACTGTTTTGTGATAGTCTTGAAACATGTTATGTTTTGATATGTTGTCTCTTTATGTAAATTAACACTGGTTAGTTCTTCAGTGTGTTTTCTGGTATCATTTCTGATCCTTTCTCCTGTCTCATTTTTTATGCTATGAAAATTTTCATGACCATCAAATTCTTTTGTAATAATTGGCTTAATACATCATCAGTCGAAGTTCCAGCATAACTGCAGATGGAATGCTCCAAACATGCTGCATTCCTGTACCAGCGTAAATCACACAAAAATGTCCTTGACTATCCCATTTGAAAACTAGTCAAAAACTTGTCAGTCTGAGCAAAATCTTTAAGATTGCATGCGCAAAGTAAAAAAATGCATAAGGCAGAAGTTAGGTGTGTCAACACTAACAGCCTGATACTAGAATTGTAGCTCACTGTTGGTACAAACAATCATGAAAGCTAGCTTAAAAGGTACTGCTACTTAACTTAATGTCTGCTATTGACAAAAGTAGCTATTTTATTTTTATGAGTATGCATTGTAGGTATTATGTCAGGTCCATATTTCCAGTAAGCAAGAGTTAGTCCCTACAGGGAGAAAATCATAAATAGATGTTTCCTTCATAGTCAAAATACATCTGCTTAACAGGTGAGGAACCAACAGTCTGCTTTCCAAAAAGCCAGATTTGTCCAAGACTCAAGTCCTAGAACAGAAGTGGACGAATAACAAGAACTTTCCATTGGAGTTTACAGCCGCTGAACGTGAAAGAGAAGAAGAAGAAGAATGTAGTTTAGAACAAATTTCAATACTTATGTCTGATGACCTGTTTATTTTTTTTTTAATACTGTGAAATTCCATAACAAGTTTAACTGTCCAGGGCATGGTATCTTGAGATGTTTATTATAAAAATTTTACTAATCCTGACCTGGTTGTGGTGTTTTGAATATTCCTTTTCTTTCAGACTATAAGTGAAACCGCCAACTTCACAGAGAGAATGGAGTTTCTGAAGGAAGCAACCACCATGAAGTAAGATGTACTGCATTCTTGTGCCTTAGTTTCTCTCCATTTTAAGACCAAAAGAAATATTTATGTTATCTCTAATATTAATGCTTACAGAGAAACTTTTTAAGTTGAAGGAAACTTGTAATATACTATGAGTGGTTACAAAAAGCTCTGAATGGTTCTATAGGGTTATGAACATATGTAATAGTGTTAGTAATTTAAACAACAGTATCCTGTTCAATCCATCTGAGATATGTAGTTTGTTTTAATAAATGTTGAAATTTGATATTTGAGCTTGAAAATTACTTTTTTTATTTTATTTATTACTGCATAAATTATGTAATAATTGTAATGGAATGGAGTGTATTAATTCTTAAGTTTCATTTATTGTAAGTTTACTTTATAATTAACTGTGAAAATGGCAAACACACAGTTCTTCCACATGATATTGCTCACCCACACGTGAGTAGACAAACAGTGGCATCTGTGATGACCCTGTTTTGCATGGTCTCCATGGTTATAGCAGGTGGAGCAGACAAACCCATGCAGTTGACGACTGCACAAGATACTTGGGGCTGGAAAGGTAAATGACAAAGCCGGAGGTTGGCTCGTGGTCAGCTGTGTAACAGATGTCGAGTGAATGACTAGTTTTGTAATACTGTGGAAGCAAACAATGATGACTTTGTCTGAATAATTGTTGGAGTATTGTGGAAAAGTCAGACGGAATCAAACTGATAGAATGTATAAAGGAAACTGACAGCCGTTTTGTGTTGTTAATTCTAGACAGTAGAAGCAGGGCAGGCAGCAACATGCAGGCTTCAAAGTAAAATCATGATGTAGCTTTGTTACAGGCATCAGTAAAGCGTCCTAACTTTGACAACATTTTGGCACCTCCAGCATTTAGTCCCGATTTATCACATTGTGACTTTTCCTGTTTCGAAAGCTCAAGGAACATCTCAAGGGAAACAGATAGGCTTCTGACAAGGATGTAGCAGTTCCTGGTTTTGTGAAAAATAATATTTCTTTTTCTTGACAGGATGAGAAAGTCTGTTTTACGCTGGCGTGTGTGTGACTAAGTTGAAAAAAATAATAACACCCTTACTTAAAGGACATCCCAAGCTTTCGGAAAATACATATTTTGAGTATACATTATGTATATTAACAAAGTTATGTCCTTGGAGGCATTACTTTTCAATCTGCACTCGTATTTTGTGTCCTTCAGATGTACTGTTCTAAACCTATCTAGTCATTTTACCTTGGTCTTTATTATCCTCCAATCAATGTATTTCATATCAGTTATAATAATAATTCCATCTCAATACCTGTATCATTCATGTCCCACCTCTCTACTTCTTCATAGCAAAGTGAAGTTGATCCTGTGATCTTTTACCCATCTGTAATTCCCCTTAGAGGTAACTCTGTACTATGTCCTCCTCATTCATCATCATTTTTGTGTCCTAGTCATCTGTCTTAAAACACTGATCATCGAAAAACATCACTAGAACATTTGCTCTTTCCAGTGCCTCATTGTTTGTGATCTTGTCATGCCACATAATGCTAATTATTCTTTGTGAGCTACTTTAGTTTATTTGTGAAGGTAGCTTAAATTTATCTTTAGCTTTATGATAATTGTTGATGGCTCATGAGAAGCAGCTGGACAAACAGTTAAGAATGCTAGGCTCTCATGCGGAAGACCCAGTTTTGAATCCTTGATAGGCACAAATATCCATAATTGAAAAATTTACAAGAAAAGAAAAAATCTATTTATATCCCAGTTATAACCCAGAAAGGTTGAACAGGATATTGTTTAAATTACTGCCAAGAATTAATGTGGTAATATTATCATTGATGCATATTTTGTGTTACAGAACCTTTAACTGCTTCCATGTGGTCAAGTTACTGGGGGTAGTGTCAACAGGACAGCCGGCACTGGTCATCATGGAGCTAATGGCCTTAGGTGATCTCAAGAACTATCTCAGAGAGCATAGGCCAGATGAGGTGAGACTTTTCTTTCAGCTGAAATAAATACTAAAATAATTGAAAAAGTTATAGGTTAAAGGTGAGAGAATCAACTTCATTTCACCAGGTTTTATCCCATATGGCTCTGTCTCTCTCCACAGAACAGCTAGCCACTTGCCTTGAGCATCACACAAGGCATGAACTTCATAGCTCTGATGACAGTCCCCATGAGTTTCTGTAAAAATTGCTCGTGTGAACCAAAGGACGCAACCTTGACATGAACCCACAACCTTTAAATTAGGGATTAGAAAGGATTATTATCACAGCACTCTGGGCAGATCCATAGGTGCTCCGATCTCCTACTCAAAAGCTCCACAAGTGTAAAATAACTGATGACGCCTGTTCTGTGTTGGTTAATGAAACGTGTTAGTGAAATATAAATTTCTTGCAGCTCCAACCTCACCCCCATTTTCATCTGTCTAGACAGGGATACGGAGTCATGTTCTTTGGCATGCTCCTCAGTACGGTAAGTGCAGCACATGGCATTGATAACATCACTTCTGTCCAGTACTCGGCCTGCCATAACAACTGCAGTGTCAGCAAGATAGTCTGCATGCTCGTTCTCTTGAACACCTGCATGACCTAGCACAAAGATGAAGGTTAGGGCAGATATTTGTGAAGTGCTTAGTGTTGCAATCCATTCTTGCCTGATAAATCCAGATTGGACATCAGATCATAAGGCAAATGGTATGACCACTTTGCCATGGAGACCCCTCCATAAAATAGTGTCAGGCAGAGTAAATTACTCAGCTACCATCTCTACAATGAGAATTGGCTGCACTAGATCTCCAAGACATCTTGTCTCTTTTCCTAGTTGTACCCTGTCTTAAACTGCTGTCCAACCATCTTGATGTTATTCTCCCAATTCTGCCTCTTGTTCATTTGTCCTCAAGGAAAAGCAAAATTGTCCAAATGTGCAGCAATTAAAAATACACCCTGTACTTTTTCTTCTTCTGCCTTTCTATCCCCCAATGGAGCATAGGCCCTCAACCAAGTTATGCAAAGTCGTTCTATCCTTTGCTAACGCATGCAGCTCTCCCCATGTCCTTCCCATCTTTCTAACCACATTATCCAGCTCCCTTCTCCATGTGTTTTTGGTCATTCTTTATTCCTATGCCCCTGTGGGTTCCAATGCAAAGACATTCTAGTTATATTGTTCTCCGGTTTTCTCAATGTGTGCCCTATCCAACGCCAGCATCTTTTCTTCACCTCTTGGTCCACTGGAGCTTGCTTAGTTCTCTCCCAAAGCTCTACATTAGTGATTCTAATTCTATCATACCATTTAACTCTCTCTATTCTGCGCAGGCACCAGTTAAAGAATGTCTGTAGTTTATTAGTAATTGCCTTAGTTGCTCTCAATGTTTCCGCCCCATGAAAAAGTACCAATTTGACATTAGAATTAAAAATTTAAGTTTAGTATTTCTTTTCATTTCTTTTGACCTCCACAAATTTCCTAGTGCTATGAAAGCTCCTCTTGCCTTTTTGTATTCTTATTTTAATATCTCTATCAGTTCCTCCATCTTTATCTACATTGCTGCCCAAATAGCGGGCGGGCGGGCGGGCGGGCGGGCGGGCGGGCGGGCGGGCGGGTGGGTGGGTTTGGGGGTGGGTGGGTGGGTGGGTGTGTGTGTGTGTGTGTGTGTGTGTGTGTGTGTGTGTGTGTATATATATATATATATATATATGGTTTGGACAAGTGTATAAGTATAAGCAAGTATATTTATGTTGCAGTGCACTCATATGAGTGTATTTGTGTGATTTCGTAAATTAAAAAAAGTATGTGAATAAATTAAGAAAACATAATAACTTCAAAGTTATGTTTAAAAAGAAGTGGCATTAAATATTCTGTGTTCTCTGTGTACTATGCCAAAATCCAAACAGACTGAGCGACCAGGTATAAGTCCACCCAGTTTTATGGACATCTTGCAAATGGCAGGAGAAATAGCGGATGGCATGGCATATCTGGCCGACAAGAAGTTTGTACATAGAGATTTAGCTGCCAGAAACTGCATGGTTGCTGAAGATAAGACAGTGAAAATTGGAGGTAAGTTTTTTGTGTGTGTTAAACTGATTATTGATTTCAATCTTGATGTTATCAGAAGGAGACAGTCATCATTTTCAGTCATGTTATAAGAAGAGGAAAAATGGAACATGTTGTGACCACTGAAAAAATCTGTGAAAAGAGGGATAGATGAAGACAACGAGAGACGATTCTTGACAGTCTTGTTGCATGGCATGGATTTGTGTCAGCATACAAACTGATACATGCTGAAGATCGCAGATGTGGAGAGGCATGATTGCCTACGCCAGTTGCCAAGGCAACTGATGATGATTCATTTCCAGATCATCTTTATTTCATGGGGCATACCAAAAGTGCCCTGATCTTCGACTAAGCGTGTTTCTTATTTATTTTTATTTTTTTTTAAATAAATATCTATTCTACCCTCATTCCTCCGATGGGGCATGGGCCTTTACCTCTTGCCAAACCTTCCTTTCCTTTGCCATCTCCTGTCCTCCCCACTTTTTCTCCTCAGTCTCTCATTCTCATCCTCAACTGATTTTATTATCTTTTCATTTATTTTTTTTTTTGGCCCTGTGGATTTTGCTACAGGACATTCTAGCTGTACTATAATATAGTGTTATCAACAAATATCTATAGTTTCTTAACAGTTATGTGCACTGTTGCTCCCTTTGAGGCCCAGATAAAGACTCTTGTTTCTGATTCAACATGCATTTGTGTATGATTTACTTCCTCTAGACAGATGATATGCAAGATAATGGTTCGTTTCCAACTTTGAGTAGGTTTTCTGCCTAAAATTTTTGTCAGGGCAGAGATCTAACAGCCTGCATTTTGTAAATTGTTAATGTGTGCAACTTCCAAAAAGAATCTCAGTTTTTCACCATTTTTTTCCAAAAAGATCAGGGAGATCAGCAGTATCATTAAAACTAAGTGTCCTTGAAAAATATTCACAGTCATGGTGTTGATAACAACCCAGTAACTTCTAAGCTTATGCAGACATCATCCCAATTATACAACACCTTCTTATTGTTGCTGATCTGTTTGTAATGAAGCTACTAGGTCAGGTTTTATTTGATTAGGCCTCATTTTTCAGTTTACGGGGTTTTTCAAAATGATATATACACTTTAATGTATATTTCCTTCAATAATCATCATCAAGTGACTTGCCGACTGACATTGACCATCATGCCTTTCCACAGTCTGTGATCTGCATGTATCAGCCTGTGTGTTGACACCCCTCCATGCCATGACAAAAGGCCATCAAGAATATCCTCATGCTGTCTTCCTCTGTCTCTTTTTCCACAGATCTTTTCAGTGGTCACAACATGCTTCATTTTCCCTCTTCTCATAATATGATCAAAAAAATGATGACTGTCTCTCACTGATGTTTGTGATAAGTTGTCTTTGAGCATTCGTCTCTTCTTAGCTGACCAAGGAATTCTAAGGATTCTTCTGTAAAACCACATCTTCAAGACCTCGAGAAATTGTTTGTTTTATTTAATAATTGTCCAGGATTCACAGCCATATGTTAAAATTGCTTTATATAGCATGAGAGAATTCTTTTCCAATCCCCAAATGACAGGGATTTATTGCACAAAATGTTTTTCATTTCATAAAAGGCAGTTTTGGCCTGTCTTCTTCTCTTCTTCTTTATCTCTGTGATACATCTTCCATCGGATGTTATCCATGTGCCTAAATACTTGAATTTCTGTACTAATCATAACATAATGCCTTTGACCTTTTTTATACAGTTAACATTATTCTTTTTTGTGTGTGTGTGGAAATCACCTTTCCATTATTCAGACTGAGGCCCATTTTATCACTTTCTACCACCACCATGTCTGTCAGTTCCTGTAGTTCTTTCTGAATAATCATTGCATATTAATATTATACTTATAAGAGAGGGGGAAGGTCGAAAGTTTACAAACTTACCAGAGAGGTTATAGATGTTCAATATGGCCACCGTCTGCTGCTTAGGCAAACATCTAAGCTGTAGCCAAACTCATCCTATATACAAAGAAGCAAATCTTGCATTACTTAATGTCACAAGCATGTGGACTCGAGTGTTGGATTATGCAACTACTCTGTAGCAATAGTATTTGAAAATTTAAATCTTTCCCTCTCTCGTTTATGCATGTTATTCATCTTTAGTGTATGTTCAAGGAAATATACTTGAAAGAAACTGTATCCATCATGTTGAATAACCTTAAAGTATAAAAGTGTTTGTAAATTATGGGTATTGTCAACTGAAAGATCAACTAAAGTAGCATATGGATAAAGTAAGAAAATAATTAATTGGCTAGGGCTGCAAATCTAGCTTATTCTTCTTCTTTTTTTTTTCTATCAATTTCTTCTTCTTCTTCTTCCTATTCTTCTTCTTTTTTTTTTCAACTTTTTTTTTATTTACTGTGGAGGGGGGTTGTTTTAGTATAGCCAAAGTCTTCCTGAATATGATGCCATATATGTTGGTGTTTTTTTTATATTTTTTTTATTTTCAAATCTTGTAGATTGCCTTTGTGGGTTCAGGAGCCCTGTTGTAAGGTGGAGGGTGAGGAGGGGGAGAAAAGATCCACTGCTACCCTAACAGCATGTTGTGAGAGTGGACTAATTAAGGATTTCCTTTAGAGATGGAGTACATCTGCCTGAGGGACAAGGAACCAACAGTCTGCATACAGATAAACTAGATCTTTAAAATGGATATGCATGCAAAAGCTCTGGAACAAGACTAAAGCCCACAAATGAATGAACAAATTGAACTTTCCCCCTGAGTTTACAGCCAGTGAACACAAAACAGAAGAAGACAAAGGAGATCTTGGAGATTGTCACTGTTTTTCTTTTTAATCTACAGTATTCTAAAAATATTTTTTTTTTTTAATAGTTTTACAAAGCACAATTTCCAGAATATTTATTTTTATAAATTGTTGCTTTCAGATTTTGGTATGACCCGTGACATTTATGAGACCGATTACTACAGGAAAGGGAGCAAGGGGATGTTTCCTGTACGTTGGATGGCACCTGAATCTCTTATAGATGGAGTCTTTACCAGCATGTCAGATGTCTGGTTAGTGGCTAAATATGAAAAATACTCTTTATGCGATTTTTATTTTGCTATTACCTTTTCACTTACAAAAAGGTCTCCCATAATTTCCCTTTCTGGGATATTCTTAGAAAAAGTATCTCTTACAAAAACAACCATTTTATAATCATTGAAAAAAAAATTGTTTGTCCAAAACACGAATAAATTCTATAAAGAGTATGTGGAGTCTTTGATTAAAACGAATGCAGTATAGAATCAATTGGCTTAATCACCTGGAGGACTGTGAATTAATTATAGCATGACGCTTACTTGATCCTGTGACCTGATCGTCCATAAAACACTGTAGCCAGTGTGAAGAATTTTAAAAAAATGTAAAGACCCCTTTTCACTCCTTTAGACACATCTGGTATATGGTAAGAGCACCCCCTTTTTGTCAGACCATCAGCACTGGGTGGATAATGTGATTGGCATTACGCCCGCTGTCTCTACTTCCCCAGGACACCCATCCTGATAACTATTTTAGGCTGGGTCGACCTGCGACGCCCCATACCATGATAAAATTACACGCAGCTAGCAGTAGGTTTTGATCGCGGTACGTTGGATCGGACTCGCACCGCCTAAGCCACGGGCGCCGGAGTGTGAAGAATAGGGTGTAGAAATTTCTATAAATAAAGCCCTTTTTTTTTTTAAAGAGTCCCACTAAATGCTATATGAAGCATTTAGTCGTCCTCTGTCATGCTGAACATTCTTTTAGCTACATGTCTCATAAATATTTCTCTGTAGCGAGTTGTGAAAGTGGCTGTTCTAGTGAAATAGTACCAACCAAAAGTGTCACTTTCATGGCTTTTGTGGCGAAAGGATAAAATTAGAATCACAACCTTGGATCCCAGTGTGGGGCCTGGGGCCCCATTGTGGGAGAAAACAAGAATAGACTCACTACATCCCCAACAAGGATGTCATAAGAGTCGACTAACTGGAGGCTTCCTTCGAAGTCGGAGTGCATCTGCCTCAGAGGCAACGGACCAACAGTCTGCATACACACAAAAGTCGTATCTGTAAAAAAAGGATGTGCATGCAGCACTTGGGTCTGGAACAATTCTAAAGTCCAGAGGTGGGTGAGCAAACCAGATCTTTCTGCCAGAGTTTACAGCTGGTGAATGCAAAGAAGAATGAGAAGAAGAAGAAAATCTATGGAGTGTTTACTAAAAATAATGCATACAATATGAAAACTGCTTGAGGCTAAATGTGTATTAGGCCAGATAAATTTTGCGCTTGACAGAGTGAAGAAAATACAGTGCAGTATGTCACTGTCAGTTGAGATGAGCAAATATGTTAACAGCTTCTTCTTCCTCTTCTGCCCTTTATCCCTTAATGTGATACTATTGCCCTACCTATTTTGTTTTTAAAAATCTTTGATGGAGAGTTGAGTTGAGTTGATTCAAGAACTGACATCACAGGAATCGGGACATTCCTATAAGGGCTCCGTCCCCATCTTTAGCAGCCAGTGCAGAGTTCTGATACTAATGGTGCCAGTAGCATTCTGATTAAATGTCCATCTTGCCTTTCCTCTGAACCTCAAGCATCTGCCATAACCCCTCGTCACTTCCCGCTGCATCAATCTCACCAGACTGTGGTGATCCATTGTGACGTTACGGCCCACTCCCTTGGAAATTACAACACTTTTAGTGTGACGTCCCAGGTCGTGGGTTCTCTGGATTTGGGTTTAAATGATTTATATGTTGAGTAGGGATTTTCCTCTTAACACATCCCCTCCACCAGATTAACTGAACTATTATCCGGGCTATGTTGCTCTCAGACAAAGTCCTGGATATCCAAGAAAACAGCCATATTGGCTCGTTATTTATATTAACTTTAGCTGAACTTGGTACCCACAAGAGAAGGAAATGGGTTTTAGATGTCTATATATTTTTATCTTGAATGATTCACTAGACAGGGCAGTTGACCCAATCCGTCGACCTTCTCTTGGTAAAGAAATTGTATTATTATTTAATGAGCCCCCACCAAATGCTATTCTATCTTATTTGTTTAATTAAACGTGTAAGAACAGACACATTTGGAATTACAAAAACTGATGCAGGATAAGACCATATATTTGATTTATTAACCTAGCAATCAGAGTATGACATTAGTCATCATTATTGTTATAATAGATAGTGATGGTATGGTGGTAATGAGATGCTTCAGCTAGATAACTGAGCACCTAAGATTCGACTGAATGATAATGGTGGTGTTTAGTTACATAAATACATGTTACATAACTTTAGAAAGTGGAACCTCTGAGAGTCCTCGTGTTGAGTCCCTTCTTAGCTGTTCCAATCTTTCCGCCCAGTTCTCCTGGTCCTTCCACCTGGTTCCCTGGTTCCCACCTGTTTCTCAGCTGGCCGAGTTCTAGCACAATGTAGTCTCGTGACCGTGATGACCCTCTATTTCTGTTTTTAGAAACGACTGATCCTCACCCACATGGGAGCTGTAATAATGGCAACAAATACATACGTGTAGTATCTTGACTTACACTAAGAATACATGTGTCAATTAATACAATATATAATAAAACATTATATCTCATCACTCCTCCTCATATTCCACATTCTCTCCAGTCTACTCTGAAGGTCTTTGTGTCTCACAATCGACGTCTCACATATCCTGCCTTCCCTCTAAGGTTCTGTCATGATAGTTGACTTTCTGTTGTCCGTCATCACTCAGACTTCCAACTTGCTGACATTGATTTGACATAAACATGTGGCGCAGGTTATGTGCTGAACACGCCAAACATTTTATACGAGCATGCTGTCCTGAATATTATCTTTCAGTGACCGTGAATAATATACACTCATGATTCTTCCCCTGGGGTTATAAATCCCCTGTTTAGGTGAACACATTAGGTGAGCACATGGTGGGCACACAAAATGTAACAGCATGGCTGCATATGTGGGCATCATTTCCCACAGTCCAAACTCATGTTTTGGTTGATGCTTGAAACATTATAATTTCATTACATTTTAGTATACAAGTCTTATTTTATAAACATGAAAACGTACACTGTAAAACATGTGCCACAAACATACCAGAAATAGAGATAGTTTAGCAGTTCCCTAACTGAGATACTGAATACTCACAAAGGACTATTTCAAGCAGAATGTGTAGACAAATTAGGAAAAGGTAGACTAGATTTTAGCTAACTCCCTAACCTATGTATACAAGATTGAAAATAATTGTACAGGCTTACCTGGAAACTTCCAGCTATCGCCAACTAGAATCAAACCATTAGAATTACCTCTAAGGTCGACCTGTTTGCTCGTGGCAGCGATTCTGACAGAAATTCCAGGGCTTGTCTTATTAATACCCCTATCTGTCTGCAAGGTTAACTCCACCCTCTTCTCGGTTCTACCCAACGCTAAAGGAGATGACTTAAGTCCCGCCTACGAGGTACGTATTAGATCAACCTAGCTATCAAGGGGCCTGTCACTCACAGTGAACAGCCTACAGTACGACCTTGACCAAGATTAAACATTCTTAATTGCCAAACATCTGCTCTCTGGAGAATTTCACTATCATGTGTGAAAACTTCAGACGCTGGACGCCGGCCTGTCCAGAAATGTCTACCTGACCACTAATCCCCCTGCTTCAGTTTGACCACACGGCCCCACTCAGTCTGTGTTATGTAACTTTTTATGACACTATGGTCGCATTTCAGGGGAGCTAATCAGGTGTGATACGAAGTTATCTCCCCCTTTACTTGCCTCTACAGACTGGGCAGGAGATAATAATATGACATGGGCAGGTGAAACCTCTAACTACAGTAGTATTAAGTAACATTACATAAAGCAAGGTTGCTTTGTCTGGCTAAGATGGGAAACACAGTTTAAACAATTCTCAAATCCCTTATAGTGGTTTTAGAACTATTTTAGGCTCAATGTCTATTGCTTATAATTCTTTGTCCTGCTCTGAACATAAGAAATTATCAAACACAAGATAACTTCTGAGACCACTGAGGTCATTTCGTCACATAGGCCCACGGTTGATTTTGGTTGTAGCTCGCTATGGCCAATGTTTAGACACTCAGTGATTTCCAAGAAGTTTATTTCACTTCTCAGCTCCTTTCTGTCCCAAAGTTTCCTTCGCCAGTATTCCTTGTGGAATCTAGATGTCCTGCATCGTTGTACAGTCACCATATGTCCATTTTTCCAGGCTAAGTCCTTAGTCCTAGAATCATGTAGGCATTCTAAGCTGAAGCTCAGTAATGTTCTTTTATCTGGAGGTTCCTTCTTTCTCCACAATGCGGGAACTCCATTTTTAATCAACCCGTCTTCGCGGTGCTGATATACGTTTGCTGTCACTCGGCTACTCCCAATCTGTAAAGGAAGCGCCTGAAGTGATTTCCTGAACGGATGAGTCACAGTCAGTTGGGTCACCGCTTTTTTCCGCCGTCGTGCACCAATCCTGCTGAAATCTTTCAATCTCCTCTTTATATGAGAGGTATTGTCGTACATCATTATCCCAGGATGTACCCAGAACTTGCCACTGCCTTTTCCTCGGTAGCGCAAAAGATCTGTCCTTCTTTGCCGCCTTCTCTCCTTACCCAGACAGCCGCCTAGTCGGTCACATTCTTCAAAGATTGTGTCACAGTCGGAGTCACTGCGTACAAGTGTCTGGCCAGTGTATAAACTGATCAGATCATTCACACACTTTTGGGTCCTCAAAAGTGATAAGGTGGCATTACTTCTGTTTAAAGTTTCCACCCACTGTTCCACAAAAGTTGCTTCTTCTCTAGTGTTGGCAGACATCCTGGGTTGTCCAGTGTCGCTATCCACATTAGAGTTTACAGGAATATCCTGTACTTTCAGAGTTTCCTCTTGTAGGCACTCTGAGATATCGGGAGGTTTCTCCTCTCGAGTATTCACTTTCTTCCTGGTCGGGCTTTCTGATGCCAAGTCCAGTGAAGATAAATGAAGTGACGTGTTACCATCTGTGTCGTCAACCTCTTGGGGGTTGGAGTCAGAACTGAGATTAACTCCCTCTTCATGTGCAGCCGCACTGAAGAGGATAAGAGAAGCAGGTGCCCTGTCATTCTCTGTCTCAGCCTGAATTTCTTCTTCTTGTTCAGCCGAACAGAAGGATATATGAGAGTCGCATAGGGTCTTGCCCTCGCTCTCACTAGTGGCTGGTGTGCCAGTCAAACCGCTGGGTCTATAGTCAAGGCAGTCCTCATTCTTGTGACTACTGTCACCTGTGCTTGGGGTTCTCGTTTTCCTACTACTATTCCATTTCGGAATGTGCGGATCCCCTTCGTCTTTCTTTGAAAAACTTGAAGGGTTGAAGAAATCGGGTGTGGCTTCCTTGATTCTGCTGTCACGCTCGTGACTGTTTACGGTACCCACGGCACTCTTTTTCCCTCCATGATTCAGTTTCTGGTCGGGAGGAATTTTCTCATTTTGCTCGTCTGAGCTAATGGAAATAAGGGGTCCCAGCATTGTAGGTCTGGTCCCTTGTGAAGATTTCTTTTTCTTGTCCCATCTTTTCCTTATTGGCTTAAGACTGGAAACTAAGGGTCCCGGCAATGTAGCTACGGTCCTGTTAGAAAAATTCTTCTGTTTCCCTAGTATCCCTTTTGGGTTAGTAGGTTTGAGGTACTGTCTGTCTTTTTTGAGGTGGTTTTCATCCTTATCCCTAGCTTCTAAACTTTTGGGAGAAGGGGTGCGCACTTCTAAATTGGGAAGTTGAACCTCTACAATCTGTGCCCTAGAGTCAGTCTGAGGTGTGCTTTCCTCGACTGCACTCATAGTATCATCACCATTTTCTGCTTGCTGTTCAGGCCGCCTTTCTCTGTCATATTCTTTTTGAGTAGACTGTCGCCTTCTCTCGTCTTCTTCGTCGAACTGCTTCAGTTCTCTGAGGAGTTCTGCTCTTATCAGCTGATACTCTCTCTCTCGCTGTCTATCTCACGCTGGTAGCTTTCTTCATCTTCTTCTTTCATACGTTGCAACTCCCTCTCGTGCTCTTCTCTTAGAAGTTGTTGCTGCCTCTTACTTTCCTCTCTCTCCAGCTGGCGCTTTCTGTTAAGTTCGCTTATACGCTGTATCTCACCCTCTTCTTCTATCTCACGCTGACGCTTCTCCTCTGCAGCAACCCAGGCAATCCTATCATCCCACTGAACCATATGGTAGTTAACAAAGGTCTCTAACTGTGCCCCTACCAAGCCGTCTGCTACCCCACATTTTATGCATATTTCTCGGTACTCGGTACGTATATCCATTCTATCTTATTAGATCTATTAAGAAAGAGATATAATAAGTTCCCGAGTCAGAGTAAGCGAGATAAGTCAGAGCAAGGTACAGTAAACTGGACAACAGAGTAGACTACTACCGCAGCACAGGGATGTGAATGAAACAGAGCAGCCTACCAGACTGACAGCTTTTAGAATGACATAGCAGCACACAATTACGCCTGTAAATGATGTGAAGTAATATTACATTCAGTCACTAAGCATAAATATCAATGATATGATGTCAACATTCAATGTTCTACAATCTATATCAAATGATGAAACATGCAAGCAGATATAATCACAATCAACTCTTATCTAAAATTTACTGAATAAACAATGATCAATGGTTATGACGTGATCAATGATAGACAGTTAAATGATACCATCCATTTATTTATTTTTAAAAAGTTATTTTATACTTTTATAATCTCTCTCCATGTATAAATTACTAATTTTAATTTAGACTATATACTGGCAGAAGAGTTAAAGTTAAATTTAATAAATTTACTATCATTAATCTAGGAGTGATTAGCCAAGTCCATCCCGGACGAGCCCCCAGTGTGACGTTACGGCCCACTCCCTTGGAAATTACAACACTTTTAGTGTGACGTCCCAGGTCGTGGGTTCTCTGGATTTGGGTTTAAATGATTTATATGTTGAGTAGGGATTTTCCTCTTAACACATCCCCTCCACCAGATTAACTGAACTATTATCCGGGCTATGTTGCTCTCAGACAAAGTCCTGGATATCCAAGAAAACAGCCATATTGGCTCGTTATTTATATTAACTTTAGCTGAACTTGGTACCCACAAGAGAAGGAAATGGGTTTTAGATGTCTATATATTTTTATCTTGAATGATTCACTAGACAGGGCAGTTGACCCAATCCGTCGACCTTCTCTTGGTAAAGAAATTGTATTATTATTTAATGAGCCCCCACCAAATGCTATTCTATCTTATTTGTTTAATTAAACGTGTAAGAACAGACACATTTGGAATTACAAAAACTGATGCAGGATAAGACCATATATTTGATTTATTAACCTAGCAATCAGAGTATGACATTAGTCATCATTATTGTTATAATAGATAGTGATGGTATGGTGGTAATGAGATGCTTCAGCTAGATAACTGAGCACCTAAGATTCGACTGAATGATAATGGTGGTGTTTAGTTACATAAATACATGTTACATAACTTTAGAAAGTGGAACCTCTGAGAGTCCTCGTGTTGAGTCCCTTCTTAGCTGTTCCAATCTTTCCGCCCAGTTCTCCTGGTCCTTCCACCTGGTTCCCTGGTTCCCACCTGTTTCTCAGCTGGCCGAGTTCTAGCACAATGTAGTCTCGTGACCGTGATGACCCTCTATTTCTGTTTTTAGAAACGACTGATCCTCACCCACATGGGAGCTGTAATAATGGCAACAAATACATACGTGTAGTATCTTGACTTACACTAAGAATACATGTGTCAATTAATACAATATATAATAAAACATTATATCTCATCACTCCTCCTCATATTCCACATTCTCTCCAGTCTAGAGGTACGTATTAGATCAACCTAGCTATCAAGGGGCCTGTCACTCACAGTGAACAGCCTACAGTACGACCTTGACCAAGATTAAACATTCTTAATTGCCAAACATATCTGCTCTCTGGAGAATTTCACTATCATGTGTGAAAACTTCAGACGCTGGACGCCGGCCTGTCCAGAAATGTCTACCTGACCACTAATCCCCCTGCTTCAGTTTGACCACACGGCCCCACTCAGTCTGTGTTATGTAACTTTTTATGACACTATGGTCGCATTTCAGGGGAGCTAATCAGGTGTGATACGAAGTTATCTCCCCCTTTACTTGCCTCTACAGACTGGGCAGGAGATAATAATATGACATGGGCAGGTGAAACCTCTAACTACAGTAGTATTAAGTAACATTACATAAAGCAAGGTTGCTTTGTCTGGCTAAGATGGGAAACACAGTTTAAACAATTCTCAAATCCCTTATAGTGGTTTTAGAACTATTTTAGGCTCAATGTCTATTGCTTATAATTCTTTGTCCTGCTCTGAACATAAGAAATTATCAAACACAAGATAACTTCTGAGACCACTGAGGTCATTTCGTCACATCCATCTGCTCCACCGAACTGTACACACTCTCCCACAAGGCACTAACCACGTCTTATGGTTAGTTGAATCTTTACCATGGTGGAGATTCAAAGATGACCAATGGACCATCAAGCAAGCAATCTTGGCAGGCACATAATGCCGGTGCAAATTATAAAATGTTTGATATTATGTATTTTTTGTAGTGGCCAGATTAGCAAGTGGTCCTTTCTGATTGCCTGTGCAGGTCATATGGTGTTGTCTTGTGGGAGATGATTACCCTTGCAGCTCAGCCATACCAGGGTCTCTCCAATGAGGAAGTAGTCAAGTTTATTGCTGACGACAACACCATGGATGTCCCTGATGGGTGCCCTGAGAAGATGTGAGTACAAAGTTTATTAATTAGATACGTCTTCCTTTCTTTTTCTCTTCTTCTTTAACCACATTGAATCATTTTTTCATCATTTAGTATTGGTTCTGTGCTGACTTATTCTCTTATACTTCATTCCTGATTTTATGTTACTCCTGCAGCCTTTTTTAGGCATCTCAGTGCCATTGTTACCAATTTTCTTTTTGGTTTGTTGTGGGTGACTATGTTTGGGCACTGGAAGCATGGGGTAGGAAAAAATATGCTTTGTATGTTTCTTTGTGCTGGATTGTCTTATGCTGAAAGAAGAGGTGAAAAGGTTGGGGGTGGGAGGGGGGGGGGGGGGGGGTACTGTCCCAATACTTGGTTTGCTTTATGGTATTAGATAATAATTTTTTCATCCAATTTGCCATCTTCAGTGAATGTTGTTCTGATGTCTAAATGTTGGTACTGCATATCAACGTCAGTCTGTGTATGTAGTTCACATATGAATAAGATCAAATTTTTTTGCTCAGTCACATAGAAATCTCATTGTTGGTAGTAATGTAATAGCGTAGTCTTCTCAGGTATTTAAAAGTTAATTTAGATTCATCCATGATGAATTGGTTTAACCAGTTTCCTTATGCTGTGAAAGTTGTTGATGCAGTTTTATGCTCTGTCCTTTGGTTTGTGAGTGCAGGTATTTTAGAACTAGAGCTGTTTAGTTCATGCTTTATAAAAGGTTAAAGGTCAGAGGATCAACTTTACTGCACCAGGTTTATATACAATATGGCTTAGTCTCTTTCCGCAGAATGGCTAGCCACCTGTTGAGAGCACCACACATAGCACAAACTCCATAGCTCCAGCAACAATCCCTAGGCATCTGCATAAAAATTGCACTCCTGAACTGAAGGATGCAGCCGGGAAACAAACCCAAGACCTTCAGAGCATGAGACAAACGACTTGACCAATTCACCATGGAGACCACCCCAGTTCATGTTTTATGTGAAGCTCTAGATGGAGGATTAGTCACTCTGAGGAACAAACAAATGAATAAACAAACTTTAGTTTCAAAAGGTTAAGAAAAAGGGCATGCAGGCCCGTCTGGTATTCTGCCCTTTTGGCCTCACTCCTTACAAACATTATTCCATTCATGCATCAGTTAGCATAATAATAATTAGGGCTGTACCGAATATTCGCTTTGTATTCGCTTCGGGGCCGAATAGTGGACCTAATAACTATTCGGTATTCGGCCGAATAGTTGCGGTCGGGCCGGATACGAATAGTGGTTACCTTACTCCCGTTTCTGCATACACTGTGATGGACTGAAATAACTCTCTCACAATAGTTTATGTTGCCTTATTTTGTCGTAGCAAGGGAAAACTGCAACCCGGTTGCGTGGTACAAACTGCATAAAATGCCAACCGCAGTGTGTGTGAGTGTGTGTCTGTGTGTGAGAGAGAGAGGGAGAAAGAGAGAGATCATGCATTTTTTTTTTCAGGGTGTCTTCGCCCAAATCAAATCTGAAGATATTGCTAACGAGAATATGAAGGTGCGTTTAAATTACATCGAACGAACGGCCGAGCGAACGATGGTTTTGAAAGAGGCGGGAGCCCGAAGACAATTTATCACAGACATCAGAAGGAGACAGTTGTCATTTTTCAGCCATGTTATGAGAAAAATGGAACATTTGATGATCACTGGAAAGATCTATGGAAGGAGGGATAGAGGAAGACAACGATAGAAGATTCTTGACAGTCTTGTTGCAAGTCATGCAGGTGCATCAGCACATGAACTGATACATGCTGCAGGAGATAGCAGATTGTGGAGAGGCATGATCGCACACGCCAGTCGGCAAGTCACCTGATGATTATGAAACACTATTCGTATTCGGCCGAATAGTTGGTCCCACTATTCTTATTCGGCCGAATAGTGAAAATCACTATTCGGTACAGCCCTAATAATAACACACATCATCAACATCTAATTCTTAAGCACAGTTGCTGGGATATGCTGTAATTATACTTAGATTTCCAAACAGTACAATTACTAAGTGTAGTAAATGTAAAAAATCCAGAGAGAAATAACAAATTTTTTTTAACTATTATCTTTTATGGGGCATGCATTCTGCATTGATATTTTTTATTGGCCTTGAAAGTTGGTTCCACAGATGGGCTGCAGAGTATGCCAAGTTTGTTTTGTAAAGGTCTATCCCAGGTTTCGGGATATTTAGTATGCTTAGGCATTTGCTCTGTCTTTAATTATATTTAAACAAAGGTCAGAGAACAAGTCCTGGTGGAGAGGTTGGAGGGGAGAGACTGCCACAATAAAGTTGATAGTTTAGCCTTCACAAATTTATAGATAGAATAAAAAATCTTTTTTTTTTCAATCACTTAACTGTGTACTTATATATACATTTATCATCCTACAGAGCACACTTAATGCGGCACTGCTGGACAAGAAGGCCAAAGGGCCGACCAACTTTTAAAGACATTATTGAATACCTACTTCCTGATTTGAATTCTCGTTTCCAAAAGATGTCTTACTTTTTCAGTAATGGTGGAACTTGTGCACCTCAAGATTCATGTACTGTTAAGGAAGCTTGTGAAGCAGTGGCTAAGGTTGATATTAATGGTAGCCACATTCAGAACTGTGAAGAAGTGATGGCAGCAAAGTTGTCCTTAGCCAACCAAGATACAGATGACCAGTTTAATTGCTGTCCAAATTCGAAGGGTGGCTCTTGTTCACTTTGTGGTAAAGATGATGGTGATACAGATCATGAGCAGTATGTAAACAAGGTCAGAGATTCTAGAAGGTATGTAAACATTCCTGAAGGTCAGGTTCAGCTGCCTTTCGCCAGAGATGACCAGAATGTAGATCATGTGTTCTGGCATGCTGACAATAGTTATCCTTGTGGATTCAGTACAGATGATGATGGTTCAAACCAGCCTTGTAGGTTATATGACTTTCAATTGGATCAAGCTTCACCATCTTCTCAGCTGCCTCTAGCATCAAGCTGGCCTGATTGTGTGGTTCCTAATTCAGAAGTTTTAGTGCAAGACGCACGACTAAACAATCAAGACTGGGAAATGCTTCATAGACAAGCTTGTGATGGGTCTTCAGGCCTTGATTTATCAGAGTATATAGGTTACCAGCCACTAATTGTGACAAAAAATGAGCCTCATACTTTACTTCAACACAATGGACAAATTAACCTGGCAACAGTTGACCCCCTGACATCAGATCCATTTGATGACAATTCCTTCTGGCAGTCAGCAGACCAGTTTTCCGCCAAACCTAAGTTATCATCAGTGGTAATACCACCAAAATTGCCTGCATTAAATCAGGCACCAGATTCAGCTCCACTGCACAAAGAAGGAAGTGAAAGTTTTTCTATCAGCACAAATGGTCTTTTTGATATAGACAGTCAGGATCCCTTTCAGCCTGTTTCTTTGGCAGTTACTTGCAAAGCAAACAGTGTTCAGGAAGAGACTAGTTTACCCCAGCAGAATTCCACACCTTGTATTGAAACTAGTGCTTCTGATGATAATCAGGATATTGTTGTAACTGACATTCAGTCATTCAGTCATACATTCAGTAATGGGCACCTACCATTATCCAAACTAAGGCATCGGACAGCTCCTTGCTAGCCTGCATAAAGCATGGTTAACCCCCTCTTGCTCCAAGTCACTATATTTCTGCTATGCCATCAACTATACATCCCCAGAGAAATCCATATATAAGGGCTGTACGCCTTTGGAAGTCTCCTACAAGCCTGGTTAATGGCATTGTTTTTGTGTGTGTTTTTTTTGGGTACTGTGCAGTGTTTTAGCAGACTGGCATTTGATTAAATTTACCAAAAGTAGCAAGAGAGTGGGTGAGAGTTATGTAGAGAAAAACGTTTCTTTATTTTTTCAAGTCATTATAATATTATATCATAATCCATCTTCAGCACTCACTTTATTACAAGATCACCAAGATCACAGTATGAGTTGCTTTATTCAAATTTTTTTTTTTTATGCCAAAGGCTTTTATTTCTCAAGTCTATTCATCTATATTGGTTACTCCTTTTCAGATTGTACTTTTTTTTTTTTTTTTTTTTAAATATTTGTGATCTGTGTAAAATAGTTGTTTTTCAAGGATTTTTCAGGATTTTCCTGATTCTCCTCCTCCCCGTCTTTTAAGGCAAAGGGATTCACGAAGGAACACTAATATTGGTGTTATAATAAATTTGTTTACAGAGGTACTGCTTTATGAAAACATACCAACATCGAGTGCTAGGAAACTTTCAATTGCAAACTGTAACTGTATTGTTGTAAGGAAAAGTACTCACATTGATTTTATAAAATATTTAATTACTAGGACACTGACTGTTGCAACATTGATGGTATGAAATGATTGATTACAAAGGTATGATGACTGAACTGTTAAGTGGAAGAATAGTAACACTGTCTTATGAAATGTTTGATTACAAAGGCACTGTATTGTACTGCTGTATGGAAGAATACTATTACCGGTGCAATGAAATGTTTGATTACAACAGTGCTGTGATGCCACTGCACATGGAGAAATACTAACACTGATGCTATAGAATCTGTAATTATTACAAAGCTAATGTGATTGTACATATATGAAAGAATCCTAACACTGGTGATATGAAATATCCCTTTCTCCTCCTCTCCTTTTTTCTGTGTTTGCCTTTAAAAGGGCAGTTGACACCTTGTGCTGTGTTTACAAACAGCTGGCTGCAGTATACAAAATTCTCTAACATGAAAAATTCTAGCACCAGTGTTAGGAAATGTTAGATTACACTGGAAATATAACCGTACATTGGTCCTTTACTTTTTTTGTTTTGTTTAAATGAGTGTACGGCGAATGGAAGAAAATTAACACTGGTGGTAAGAAATGTTTCATTATAAAGGTATTGCAACTCTACTACTGTGTTGGCATCCATGGCTTAAGCGTTGCGAACAAACTTAGTAATACCAGGGGGCCGGGCTCGATCCTAGCTGCAGGCCTTGCACTTTGCGTTGGTTTCGACAGTGGTATCGAGAAGCTGACAGCCCAGAAAGCAATGGCAAACTACTGGACATAAATTTGTCTAGAGAAACCACAACAGCCAAAAAATGCTGTAGTTGGTTCTGCAACATCCTGTAAAGCAAGCAGGGCTATTCAACTAAGTTTGCTCGCTGGCCAAAATGTTGAACAGGGAGATCGTCGCGGGCCAGTGGCCCGAGCCCACACTACAACTGACAACATTTTCAATCTGTTGATTTAATACACTCGAAAACTGTTACGCCTAGGACATAGCCTATATAAATGTAGCAGTATTATAAACCATTATAATGTAAAGTGTACTACAATCTTCTGTAATGATTAATTAATACTCACTTTTAATTCTTCTTCTTCTTCGTATTCACTGGCTGTAAACTCCAGTGGAAAGTTCTGATTGTACATCTACTTCTGGACTCTAGTCCCGTTCCAGAAACTGAGTGTTGCGTGCAGATCCGTTTTACACGTCCTACTCATTTGCATGCAGACTAGGTTCCTTGGCTCTCAGGCAGATATACTCCAACTTTGAAGAAAGCTCTTAATTAGTCGACTCTTGCGACATTATTTTGGGTAGGCAGTGGGTCTATTCTCGTTTCCCAACAATAGGGCCCCGGAACCCACACGGGGATCACTTTTAATTGAAATACACCTATTTCCAACTTGTCGGTGGGATCATAAATAAACGTTACCATTGTCACAATAATAATAATAACTGTCCACAGTTGTTTTCATGTTCTGCAGAAGAAGCCGAAAGGTATAACGATGCAAAATGTAATTAATGGAAAATGCTGCATTTTCGTTTCTGAGCTAATTTTGCCAAATTTGGCTGGTGAGAAGTTAGAGCAATTCTCATGCAGTCCTGCAGCCTATCATTGCTCATTGAGCTTCGACTGTTTGTCTTGATGACATTCATGTGTGAGAAGCTTGATTCACAAGTGCAAGTTGAGCTAGACATGGTGAGTATGAATACAGCAATTTTTCTAGCATTAGGGAACTGCTCCTGTTGAAACCTCTTGTTCTAAAACTTGACTGTACCACTTTCTTGAAAATCTTCATTCACTGCGCTGGAACTTTGGATATCCACAAGTTCTAACTGCAGAAAACCTTCATCAACAGAGGATATCAACTTCTTAGCATTGGAAGAAAAATTACACGCAGGAGGAATTTTAAAAGGATCCCGAACAAATAACATTACATTGTTTGGGAAATTAAAGTCGTCAAATCTGTTGTTTAAATTATTCTGAAGCTTTTTAAAATATTATTTAATTCGATCGGTTAAGGTTGCCGAGTCCCGTGTTGAAGAAATAAAATGGCAAGCATACTGGTTTAGAATTAGGCAGAGTTTGTGATATAAATAAATATTTGTGTCCAGTCACTGCTGAATGCACGATTTTTACATTCCCACTTACTAGTGCTAGCCATGGCATCAGGTATTAAACTAAATTATTAAAAATAGATAATTTAAAACACTGTTACTGATTCAGTTTGTTAATGTACAATTGCGTCCGACAATCTACATCTGACTGTGACTGTGTATGTGACTGAACGTTCTTCTGGACTTTATAACCTGATAACAAGATCACTAGCAGGTTTTCTGCCGTGTCCAGTGTCTGATGCTCTGGTGCATCCAGTGTCATTAGTTTGTGGCGCCCATTAAGGAGAGATTCTCTGTAATCTAAGCTCTAACTGTCGAGACTGTGCAGGTATTTCCGTACGCCTCCTGTCCAATAAATATCTCGCCTTCATTGAATGTCCAGTGCAGCGGTGGCCTTTCCGCTTGTTACTTGGTTCTTTCCAGCCTATCTTATTACTTTTGGCTTCAAACAGGCGAGTTTTGCTATTTGAGCGAACTGGGAATGAACTCTTACCCTGATCTAATTACTTTTTCTGTTCCTATGCCGGTTCCATTGTACCTTCATATTTACAGATTCTTGACAAACACTTCCAACTGACATATTTGACACGGCTGGTTTTTGAAGAATATACAGAAACATTGATTGGTTTATTTTTTGTTCTTTTCAATAACTACATTTCGCTATTTTGGCAATGATGGGCGGGCTTTGCTAGGCCTTGGCGGGCCAGATTTGGCCCGCGGGCCGCCAGTTGAATAGCCCTGCTGTAAAGGATACGCAGCTAACTACTATATGAACAGAAGATGGTGGTGATGACTCTTGATCTTGAGGATGCCTACAACAGAGTTAGATATAATTTTGATATTTGTATATTCTTGGCTGGTAAACTGGGTGGCAGCTGTCCTGCATTCACATAAAGTCACCCTCCGTCTAGGTACCTTGACCTCAGAAACATGTAATATCACCCCAGGAATACCCCAGGGTTCTATCCATTCTTTATTCCCTTCTTGTGTCCATATGAATGCTTGATTGGGGGGAGTCTTGTCTCATCCATTCTGAGTGCATGGCCGACGTAGTTCCAGAGGTACTTTCTTATAAAAGTTGATACATTATCTTGCTTGGTCTCTTGTCTTGTTAACTACATAGACTCATTACAACACCATAAATAAAAATAGGGATAAAGAAGCCATTAGTAATGTATTATCAATCCCTGGTTTGCATTCATTTTGTTTATTTTTGTTCAACATGAACTCAATTTTCAGATTTTGAATCCATTTTAACAAGGTTTAACTGCATTGTGTACAGTGTATAAAAAAAAAGAAGAAATGCATGCATTGAGAAGTATATTTATTGCCAGTTTTAGTCTTTTTGGGGTTGTTTTTTTTTTTTAATATAATGAAGAACACATTTGAATATTTTATCTGTTTTGTGTGTGCTCACACTTTGTAAGGCTTTTTGTCTTTAATAAGTGACACTACAGAGTCAGTCATTTGTTTTCTCAATCTTTACCAAACCCATTAATATAAACTGACCTTTACGCATGAATAGATATGTAAGTATTGAATATTTATTATATTTAATAATCATTCCATATATTAGTGAAAGCATGCTATTTATACCATGTCATAGTACACCACGTCATAATGTTTCTTTTTACTATCTTTATATGTGTTAATCTATCACAGTAGTATCCTCGACTGCCTCTCACTAACAGACTTGAGAAAGAGGCAAGAAATGCAAACAACTGCATCAGAAAGGGATGAAATTCGTGAAATTTTCTACAGTTCACCAGAAACAGCCACTAGAAAAGGTGACAGGAGAAAATAACCAGTGTAAAAAAACTGAGATTACAAAACCAATTTATCAATATTACTATTAAAGTCCTTTTGAAACTTGAGTGCCTGTTACTGCTTCTTCTTTTGCCCTTTATTTCCTAAGAAATTAATCCAATGAACTGTTACTAAAAAGCTTAATGAAATGGGGAAGCAGATCAACGTACACAAAGCATCACAACACAGATCAATGTTTCGGCCAGGGCCTTTCTTGGCATGAACTGAACTACGCAACAATAACAAAGGGGAGAGTACTCCAACCACAAAGGGGTCATGTGAGAAGCTATTGAAAAAAAGTGTGATGTGGAATGAATAGAATAAAATTTAAAAAAGGCTTGAAGAAAGGTGTAACAGTAATAGTGATAATAGGGGGCAAATGGAACATGTTTTGACCACTGGAAAGATCTGTGGAAG